ATAACTGTGGAGTCGTTTCGCAAAACTTGATTTAAGCCAAAAAGATGAATATATTTTAATACTTTATCTACAAGTATATTAAGTTAGATAAGATTGGTGTGATTTTTATTAAACTTTTCTTTTCCATATATTTCAGTTATACCAAGAAGAAAACTTGTCATGTTTCCAACTGATGAATCACTGTGATTCAACAGAATTCAAATAAATCCACAGAGAGAATAAATAAGCCTATAATGGGTCACATATATTATTTCCCAAAATAAGAACTGATAAAAAATCAATAGAATTCTATAGTGTCCATTCCTACAGAAAACTGTAGTGACCCAATTCTGTAGTACTATGGTCTTTGCGACCATATTGTATCTTTATCTAATTATTGGTTCACATACACACATTGTATTATCTAATGCACTCAAATAATGAGTGACGGATTTACACATAAAAAGAGTTACAATTTGGTAAACATAGCTGGTTCTGCGTTTAACACGTGATTGGAAATTTACTAATTGCATCATGCACTGTAACCATCCAATCAAATGCATTACTTTCAGAATCTCAAGTTATGACGTAAGCAAATCTGTTAAAAAGCACAAACCAGCCATTTAAGATTTAGATATTGGGTTCCGGAGAGATTACCATTTGAGTTCCTAGACCATATTATGATGTAGTGGTGCCCTGAGTCTGGCCACCATACTGGTTAGACTTTTACAGGAGTTGGGGTTGAGAGAAAGATGTTAATTTTAAGTATGCTAATGTAATCTGTTATACAGTGTACCGTGTATCCAGCTTGATATAAACATGTAGAACTGAACTGTTGCATTTTATTCTTGGTAAGACAAATGCTTAACTACTAAGATAGTAGTAAGAAGAAAATACACAACGTGAAAAGGAATCCAAAGAAAAGAATTACAAATACTAGACGATCACGACTATTGGTAGAATTTTTACTCTTTAAACTAATAATAGCATTTTATTGTATCTTTAACTAATTATTGTATTCACACATTCTATAGAAGTCAAATCTCGTGCACTCAAATAATGAGTGGCGGATTTCGACATAAAAAGAGTTATAATTAAGTAAACATTTAATTCTAGGTTAATAACAAAATAACACGTGTGACACTAATTGTCGTGTAAGTTTCCACTATTCATAAGGGTGGCTCTCTCTCTCTCTCTCTCTCTGTCTCTGTCTCTCCCCTGTCTCTCTCTGTGTCTCTCTCTCTCTGATAATTACATGCTTATAGCAGGATTCTTCAAATTTGAGTAAAGAACCAAGTATTTATCAATTACCATACTATGACCAATAAAATTTAGGCATGTTCATATATAAACACAAAGGATGCTTCTACAAACTTTTCACAGCAAAACCAGTTCGGAGGCCTATTGACTATTGAATGACAAAATTAATTTGGTTCTGCAGGATGTTTTGCAATATGAGCTGTCAGTAAGAAATATAATCTAAGTATTCTGGACAGCAAAATGTGCTAAGAAACGTATAATTTTCTCTGTGGTTTCGCACTCTAGAGTAAATCGGTGGCTCACAAAGTAGGAGGCCTGGAGTTCTCTTCTGGCGTTGGCCGACAAAGTTGAACCCATGTAGCACCATAGGTCTTTCTGTCTGACGTGGAGAGCGGACAAGTACTAAAAAACCGGTCGCCACATCTTACGTACCACCCATGCATCTTTTCTTACTACATATTTCTGTAGCCTTGTGATCGTCTAGAATTTGTCTCTAGCTGTCTTTACTTCTGCTTCACGTTGTGTAATTACTTCTTCCAGTTTCTTAAGACGTTTGTCTTACCAGGAATAATAATGCATAGTTCGCTTTTACATTTTATATAGCATATAACTGAATACAGGTATACAAGCATAGCACAAATTACAATACTATATAGCTAAAACCACTTCTCCACCCTATCCAGTCTCTCGGCTGTCTAGGAACTCAGATGTACCCTCGATCTCTGGAATCTAATGCAAGTCTGGCTTGAAAGGTTCAAATAGATATCTTATATAGCACCCACGTTTATCACGCACAGGAAGCCTGTTCATGGCCCTGAACCTGTGCAATTAACGATATGATTGGTTACTTTAAGTCAAATGATGCAATTAGAATAATTCCACTCGCGTGTAATTCTGGTGGTAAATTGTGACACCTGTTTTGGTTTAAGAGCTCTTTTTATGTAACAATATGTCAATTACAGACTAAGTTGATTTAGTGCACACTATGTGAATATGTTTGAAATTACTAACTTGCCAAAGATATTAATTAATGAAATATAAAGCCATCTTATTTCAAGAGCAAAAATTCTAGCAATATTATTACACCCATTCTACCGTTAAAATTGTTTATAGAAAGTTATATCCCTAGTTAGAAGCGCCCTTTCAGGGTCTTGGGGGCGAAATGAAAAGGAATGGGGTTTAACGTTCTACCTGTTTGCAACAAACCAGACTTATGAAAACGGACATATTTTCCCATGTAGCAGTCTGCTATGGAGGAAATCTGTCTAACTTCATCAATTCCAACTTCCAATGGTTCTTTCACGTGCACACCGAAGTGGACACGGGACCTCGGTTTTATACACAATCCCAATGAGAGGGGTAGATGTTGTTCCTGGCAAGGCCCGTCCTGCATCACTACTAACTAATCACCTCCTGTCCACATTTTGTCAGGTCATATTTTTATGTTTTACGTTTAAGTCAACAATTGATTCAATGCTGTTAGTCTCAAGGAACACCACATTACTTGGAAATAACACCTCCTTCTTTCTGGGTTAATCCTTCCGCTTGCACATTGCCCGAGGATAAATTATTGTGGTTGGTGTCCTACACAATATGATTATGTGCTCCATAACTTTCATCAAATAGGAATGTGACAAGGTGCCCCATAACTTTCATCAAATTTAGACTAACAGTTCTTGTGATGTTTAAACAAGCTGTTGCCATGCACGATACACAAGAGATGGACAGAGATAAGCTAAACAAAGGCGTATTTCGTACAAGGGGCTATAATTCAGAATGCTACAAACTGGCATGCGTCAATATCACACGGAGCGAGATCTTGGAGTAATAAACATAATTATATTCTAAATTTCATCAATATAGGATAAAAATTCTGATCTCTAGAGGGTTCACAAACTAATATCGCGATTTTTCGTACAATCAGGTGCCACAATCCCGGATGTATGGTCCGATATGGAACAATATATTTTAAGTTTCATCAAAATCGGATAAAAATATTATTGTGAACTCTAGTAGGTTCACAACTGGTTATTACATACTTTTACACTATTTGCGTACGGGGAACGATTATTATGGTGTACAGTGATATATTTGAACGGTTTTTAAAATCGGATAAAAATTGTGACATCTAGCTAGGGGGTCTACAGGATAAAGACGCGATTTTTCGTATATTCAGACACCATAATCCAGCAACCGAGATCTTTTTATAATAAACATATATTTTAAGTTTCACCAAAATCGGATATAAATTGTGACCTCTAGAGTGTCCACAACCTAAATTTTTCGTACAATCAGGGACCATAATCCAGGTCCGATACTTGTCAATAGAGAAAGGAACCGAGATATTCAGGATATAAGCCTATATTTCAAGTTGGATAAAAGTTGGATAAAAGTTGTGACCCTGTAGAGTGTCCACAAACAAAATGTGAACGGACGGACGGACGGACACGGATGGCGACAATATACATCCACGTGAAAATGTGGGCGTATAAAAAGTTAAGAATGTTGGTGCATGTCTACCTATTCAAACAGTTTTGGTTTTGTAGACTGTTGTTGTATCATGCAGTCGTTTTTGATAGAATAAGCTATGTTCACGCATCGGCTCGCTGAGCAGCTGTCGTGGGGCTCCCATCCTCGGTTACCCAGTGTACTCATTCCGTTCTACTCCACTATACCCTGGGTTAATCTATGGTGGAGACACGTTTTCAAGTTATCCGCCCTTGATGGTTGTGCTATTTTTATCGACCAATCCCATAAATCGTTAATTGAAAAGGAAGTTGGCAAAGGGAAGTAACTCTCATCGGACAATGTTAGGAGTTGGCCTATTCTAAAAGCGTAATTATTAATAACCAATTATATATTATGTTAATGAAGACCGGACGTTCATATAATAATGTATGGTCATTAGTTTTATTTAGAATCGTTCGTTCGTTCCCGGAATTTTATGTCCACGTGATATCATAGACAGGTTAATGTGAATCAAATTGCCAAGTATAATTAAGTTCAATAATAAACATAACAGAATGACATATTTCAGACAAAGAACGAATAGTAATAATAATAACAAAAGTCAAACATATAGATGTTATACATATTTGAAATCAACAACACATATATATACATTATTTACATACATCATTCAGTAAATGGACGGTTATCCACCCTTATAAAAACGAAGGCGAAACGTTTGGTTTGTAAACTGTTTTCTGATTGGTTCGTAAACTGTAGCTACATTCTAGGCCAGGGCAGATAATTTGAAATCGTGGAAACCCTATGGATTAACCCAGGGTATAGTGGAGTAGAACGGAATGAGTACACTGGGTAACCGAGGATGTGGGGCTCCACGAGTATATTGCTGTTTAATCACTGGTTTTATTAGAAGTATCAATGCAATAAACAATAGGGCGCTAATGCACGAAAGTGCATTAGCACATAGTGACCATTTAGATAATTGTTATTCCAGTGAGTGGTTGTTGTAGGTAAATAGGGAATTTACCTGGGGGTCGAATTATGCTGTTAATTTTTATGGCGATCATGAGCTTAATTACCCCCCACTTCTTGTGTTAGATCCGCAGCTTTTAATCAATTCGGTATGGGGAATTGCGAAATGCAGTCTTTTGATGCATTTATTTGTTTTTCTCAATCCTTTCTATGTATACAAGAACGGCAGTGTGTAACCCTTTCATTACATATAAATAGACTATACATTATCTCACTTATACCTCTGTTTAAATAGAAACCATGTTGTATGATGAATTTTCAATATGGACATTATAAAATAGTATAACTTAATCAGTGACAGATATGGAAACTTGGGTGAGAATATTTATAGGTGTTACTGTAATGGTATTAGTGATAGCATTAAAGGTCACAATTTGGCAACTTTATCTTCGACAAAAATGTTGTTTCAAAAAGAAAAAAGTATTAACAGTAAGGGCTGGAACTGGAGCGCCATTTACAATGCACGAAGGTATGTATTTTGTTATATCGGACCTAGGTTATAAATAAGACATGATAGTTCTATTCAATTGTAATTCATAGTGTTTCAACTCAATTGCATATTTCTATTCACTTAAACATACATGCAAGAGCTAAATCTGCCTATTGCAGGTCTTTCTTTAGGCCTGAAATGTTATCTAAATTATTAATTAGACATTAATTAACGTATCCAGACCATAATCAACTCTCGAATGATTAAGATCCGATTCGCTGTTCAACTTGATTCATGATTAAATCGTGAAATGGATAATCGAGACTATGATTTTTATCGTACCGACTTTAATAATGATAATCGAGGCTAGGCCTCAAATTCAATCGATCAATTTGACTGAGAAACTTTCAACAAATTCCCTTTACATTATCTAGTTTTTAACTATTATGGTGAGAACTGTCAGCTCTTTATCTAGTGCCATAAAGTATCTTAACTAAATGTATCTTTAATCGGGTGTTTTTGAAAAAGGTAGATGTACTTTCTTAGTGAAATTGATTATACCTCAGTTGACATCTTAATCTTTCGTTTTATTTTGTAATTCTTTTACAATTCTATGCTAAGTTTATACGCCCATATGACCATGCAGTTAACCAAGATTGCGCAATCTACTTGTTTAACGGGTGGGGTCATCCTAAATCTTACAATACTTGACAATAGACCACTAGTTTCTGTAAACAAAAGCAATGCAACCACTGTGATGGGAGCGTGGATGACGACTCTACATAGATTATGACTGTTTATTTATGTAAACAATCATAACAACATTATTTAAATATATTACACTGGACGTAGACGTCATGATAGTCCTAGCTAGGATTTTACAGCGTGGCAAAGATATGTGACCGAGAAATTGTTCTTAGTGGCTGACGGTTGTTGCGTAAAGAATTATAATGTTATCAGTCTAATGTATTGATGGGCTATGCCCTTCCTTCAACATGTATCTTGGGTTGACGACAGGCGCCGAATGGGGGGGGGGGCAGGGGCCGTGCCCCCACCCCCCTCAGCCCCAGTGGGACTGGTCATCACTGTTCAGACCAGCACCTGCAGTCAGCAATGGGATTCCCAGATTTTAGTTTCTGTTTAATGAGGCCGCGACGAGGACTATGGGGACTATACCAAACCACTTTGCTCCAATGTTTGCTTGCCCCCCCCCCCCCCCCCCCAACAAAATCCTGGATCTGGGCCTGGACAAACAAATATTATGGTCAAGCAGGGTACAAATTGCCCTGACATAAAACATTCGCACTAATAAGGGGCTGCGCAACAGGCCGCTTAATTTTATCTTTTTAAAAATTGAAGATTATTCTTTATTGATGCTGTACTTCTTTTCAGATCAACTTGGTGGACATAATGGACATGTCTTATTTGTTCCGAACGCAGCAAATAGAAAACACCGATCTAGATCACCAAATAGAAACCATCATCACCACAAACACCACTCATCAACACCAAGACAAGAAGGAGAACCCAGGTCTAATCACAGGAACAGCAGCGTTCCGACTGAAATAGTTGTTAACCCATCAGCTCCACCCGTATACGATGAAGTTGTTGACACTCCACCCCCATACAACTCAGTCATGGCCTCTGCGCTTAATTAATTAGTGACTCTTTTAGTGTCATATAAAGCATTTATTCGGGAAAAAGATTAGTTATGACAGAAATTTTCTAGTAATTATCAAGAATCACAATTGACTAATTATTGCAACACTAACTGCCCACCAACATCACAGACAATTCAAAATATGGACCGGATTGCCAAGATGAAATCAAATTGGTCAGTTAGATTTCAAACGGTAGTGATAAGAACAAATTTTACAACATCAATAATTAGTTGTCAGATATTATTATTATGCTTGGTGGGTTGAGTTGCTAAATGGCTTAAAGCGTGTGCATTATATCATAAGGCTTGCCATTGAGTCAAGTATGTATGTGACAAGGTGTAGGTCGCCAATCCAACCTCGTGGGTTTTCTCCGGTTTCCTCCCACAACTATAGACCCCAATCGCAAGTAAATGATTAAAATAAAATTGAACCATATGTTAGTCCCAAAATGACATATTTTGTCTTGAGTGTATGTTTAACAATGTACAACTGTAGTTAAACTTCATTGCATAAGTCTTGTCCTATAGTCAAAGACATTTACCGGTTTCTCAGATATACACTGATTAATTTAATTAACAAAAAGTTTGATAACAAAGCTTCAAAAAGACAATGTCGATCTGTACTCTGTAGACTACGAGCGCTGGCTAAAAAGTTTTAAGCCAATCTGTGAAAGACCTATACGATGTCAATGGTTTCCATTTTTTTTTCTACATAGTCCCATTAGAGCTGTACACACTTTTGCCAATGATGTTTCAAGGCCTGGATGCCGGTCAGGAGGAAATTTACTTCAGCCACCCTAAACAAAAAGTCATTTACAGCTGACATTACTAGGAAAATGACTACCCACTGGTTCCTTTTTCATTTTTGGAAACCGGTCTCATCTATTTATGACTATCACCCCCATTTTTACTGTGGTGCCTATCATTTAGACAGAGATGATCAACCAACAATTCCAATTTCGGCACCGAACCATCATGTCGAACCATCTGAAACAACGCCACAACGACGAGGTACATATTTTACATTAACTCAAATTTATATTATAAACATAACATTAACATATTTGTATAAAAGTTTATTTAAAATCAAATATCAACTTTTTTGATTGTTTTATACAGAGTTGTCAGGCAACTAAACAAATGTGTACCAGAACTTATTTTGTAGAAGCAGTTCATGAAATATAGTGTTATATCTTTATATTTACATATTTACAAAGATAAATTTATGTCTGAAATATTGTAAATTTTATATCATAAATGTACAAAATATCATGAAAGGGGATACATGCATACATGTATAAAATACAGCAACCAATAAATATAATAGTTTCAATAATCTTAATTGATTATATATAAATTGTTGCTTTTTGGCGAAGGGTATAAATAATACTATTATTTTTTTTATACAATGTAATTAAATCCTTGGGGAAAAAAAGAACATTAATAATGACTTGAAAAAAAAAATTATTACAGGTACCATTTAAAAAATAAAATTATAATAACAAATTTAATGAAGTTTGAAGGTCAAGAAACATTTTTGTTTTATTTCAGATTCAATCTAATGCAAAATTTACATCAAAAAGTGGAAGTGTTTTTTGATTAGGTGGAGATTTTTTATTCAGGTGTCATATACAATATTTACATGTTTAAAATTTGCGTAAAACAATTAAACATTTCTTGTCTCTCCCGTTAAAAAAACTCATCCAAGTCAGTTAAAATATATACATGTATTTAAATGTATAATCCATGATTTTAGAATATATTGTCAAAATTACAAAACAAAAAATAAAAAATACAAAACCAACATCCCTCACTTTTTGGATAATCATGACAGGTTATATATTATATTTCATTTTTAAGTGATTTAATTGGTAAACTCTGATCCAAATAATGTGCAAATTGTTAGTCAATACAATATATGACAATGTCTAAATTTAGCAAGGATCAAATAAGGGAACCGGGGGATAAAACATTGCTGTTGATAACTATAGCTCTGGATAATAAGAACAAATAAATAAATTAAATTTCTCTCATAACAAAAAGATTTCGTATTGTACATTTCTAATTGTCTGTGATAAATGACTAGCTCTTTGGAGTTATATATACAAAAACAAAACAAGCATAAGTTGTATCGAAAATCAAACTAAAAACCTCTTCCTTCTTTGGCTGGCTTCATTGACCAACACATCTTTTATAGAATTAAAAAAAGTTTACATAAAAATTGGTAAAATGACATGGGAGTCAAGCGATGCAAGGCTGAAACTAGTGTACCCCTAATATAGTTTACTTGCCTTGTTTAATTATGCTTATTTCTGAACACCTTGTCTTAAAGGGCAGGTATCTATTATATTAAAAATAACAATGATTTTGTCACAGGGGATTAAGTACAACACAACCAAAACAATCATACAACCAAAACTAAGAAAGAAACAACATGGCACATGCACATAAGGCAAGATCACAATTCCCTGTTTATAACAACAGATATGTCATCAAACTTTGGGAGCACTCCTGTCGTTTGTGATTGTCTTCTTTAAACCTGCACCTTTCTGTATATCCGATAATAAAGCTAGTCTACCCGAGTCTGAAGGAGGAGACTGTACCGGGGGTGGTGGTGGGGGAGGTACACTACTAGAAAACCCTGGGGGAGGGGGAGGTGGTGGCGGAACATTTTGTGGTGGAGGGGGAGTTGTTTTATACATTTTATTTGATCCTGTTGATCCACTCCTGGAGCGCGATTTTTTCTTGTTTGATTCTGGCTTTCTGTAAAGCAAGATAAAATTCACTTTTTAAAAAGGATCATGACAGAAATACCAGCATTTTTCAACAGATTCTATTTTGCAATTTATAGAAATTATACAAAAGAAAAACAATATGTCATACAAAAAGAAATATTCTGGTTCTTAGACAATACTTTAGAAAGATCTGATGCTGGAGGAAGGTTTACATTTTGTGTTTGGATCGTGTGGCTATGACCTTTCACAAACATCGCATTTCAAGCATCTACATCTATTTCATCATCAGTTTATTCACACTGTTTCAGGAATTCATTTACATATTACTTATTCTTTTAGTTAATAATAATGGTATTAATTGTAGTATGATTCAAGTTTATAATAGCGACAAGCAATATCCTGAAAATAACCCTTAATTATCGATATACAAGCATGGGCATCCTTAGAGTAAAATGATTTCACAAGTGTTGACTATTTATCAGCTATGATAACTACAACTGTGTAATAATTACAAGTTTTATTACTTACTTGGCTTTGCCCTTTTTATAAGATTTTAACAAAGATTTCATGGCTTGATTAAGATGAATCTGCAAATAAAATAAATATAATAAAGAAATGCCACTTTTAGCTAGTCAAACATTATTTTAAAACTTCTAGGAGGAAACTTCTGGATATTTTTAAAACATTTTTACTAAAATTCGAACTTATGTTTAAAGATCGGTATCCTTGCTGTGAAAATAAATTCAACTTACCGGTGTTGGATTAAACATTGAAAGTCTTTCTAGTCTCACCATACTAAAGAAGTCTTGCTTGGCAATCTAAATAAAAATTAATTTAAAGAGAACTGCATGATACTAACTTTAGTTAATTATTATTTAGAAAAGGGCTGTTAGAATGTTAAATTTTAATTTGGCAGCGGTATAAAAAAAACACTGTCATCCAAACACTGTCATCCAAATTTGTTCAAAAAGACGTTCCCATTTTTTGTATTCTAGTTACATATAAATAAAGTGTGACATATAAAATAAATATCTAATTTATTGTATGAATTAAGGGTCTTACAATCACACCAAAATAAATACAATACATGCTCTTACCTCCCTTATAGATGGATATCTTCCAGTATCCACTCCAAAAATAAAATTCAAAATCTAAAAAAAAAGGATAGAAAACAATGAAACTAACTTAATCAATTAAAACAGTGATGACAGGTTTCTTTACTGTCTAAATGATGTTAAATATTTAGACGATTTTAAGACCAGGAGAATGTTAACCATTTTCTCCTAATTTAAAACAATGGCGACTGAAGCAAATTTAAATGTGTATATTTGTATATATTTACCATGTCAATTTATTCATATATTATTTATTGTATATAACTTTATTTCTGGTTTTAATCTAATTCATTTTATTGAATAAAACATTGTGTATTAAGACAGAATAAAAAAATCAAAAAATCTATAAGTTAACGTTTTAAGGAAGTTAGATAAGCTGATGTATGATGAGAGGGTGGGCGATTATTATTGTTTCAAACAAAGTCAGCAGGTGGGTGTTTATCAGAGCAGGCCGATAATTACTTCAAATACTATATGTTGTTATAGTACTAAGTACACTTCACAATAGGTAGATGGTGAAGCCCCCAGTAATATTAATTACATGTAGTGAATATGATATACTACCTGTACAATTTGAGGAGATTGTTGGGTTGCTAAATGTTGTGGTTCAGGATGGGCAGAATCTAATTCATAACCTGCGCTCATTTCAAACAATAAATGACCTTTAAAAATAAAGATAGTTATGAGTCTCATGAAATCAAAATGCAACATATACTATAAATGTAAATTCTGTATTAATAGAAGGATAAATTGGTATGTGACACATGTATTTATCTTAGAAAAGATGGCTGAGATACCGGTATTCAACTTAGAAGTTGATAACATCATAATATTTATTTAAGAGGAGATTCATCATTACTGAAGCAAAGTAGGACTCTATAGCAATATTGCTAAGTTTTGGTCTTTGAGTGTTTAGGGAAATACAAATTAATGTCATTACTAGGGACAAATATGCCAAAAACTCAAATTTATTTTTCTTGTTGTGTTGTATATCAAATCAGGGGACTGTAATCTGTTTCTCATTTAGCCAGAGCTGGTCTCAAATATACCAATTCTGATATAGAGATTATTAAGATCAGGAGTCTAATTTCAGTCATATTTACCCTTCTTGACTGACTGGCTGGTGAAATTGACTGGAGAACATAGGTTAAACTCCAGTTATAATTTGAACGATATTACATGTATATTAACAAATTAGTATCATAATATCTGTAACATTACCAAAACAAAGAGTGTCAACTGCATCTTTATCTTCCTTTAATTTTTTCTTGATTAGTGGATAAACTCTAGATGTATTACCAAGTAATGTATTTTCATATCCTGCTAATCTAAACAAATAGAATACATAATGCACATATATACTCAGTATGTAATGATAACTACTCATATATACAGTATGTAATGATAAACATTAATGCTATCTTAACTAAATACACACACATACAATATGTAATAACAAATATTAATTCCAGAGTTTTAACTTTTTTTAAAGTTTACCCATTGTTTCAACTCTGAAAGTGTTATTATTGTAATAATATTGCAGTGTTATAATATTTGAAAAACATATTCTTTCATTTACCTGCAAGCACCATTTTCAAACATAATATTACCAGAATGTAGACTAATATGGGACGGAAAACCCTTATCTGACATAAACAGCATAGCCTAAAAGATTATTTAGAATATTAAGTGCATTGAAGATTTCGTTTAGTGAGAATATGGATGCCTATAGCATATCAACTTAATTATATCAATGAGATAATTAAACATTTTGTATTGATTACTATACCAGCAAAATCTTCTACATGATACTCAATGATTTCATGAGATATGAATTGGAATTGGTTTCATTTCTGTGGAAATATACAATTTTTCATTGTGTTTGAGGGAGAAGGAAATTATAATACATGTACTACAAACCTCTAAAATCTCTCTACCAAAATGTTGAACTTGACCCAGACCTAAACCTCTACATCTTTTATTATATTTCTCATAAAACATGTCAGTAAATCTACTCTGTAATGTACAAATACAAATATATAAAGTTGATTGTATAGGTACATGTATATGTACAAAAAACTGTGTGGCAGATTTCCTCCCAAAATAAATATGAAACTTTTTAATTACTCACTTATTTATCTTTTTACAAAGCAGAAAATGCTCATCATGAACATCTACACTAAGTCTGACTTTTCTACCTAAGAAGTGTGACAGGCGGACAAATCGAGGGACAAAATCGTAATAATAGTCCTCTGCTTTCTCCGAAAGATAAACAACAGACTGATAAATCAGGGACAAACATATGGACTTAAGAAAGTGTGAGCAAAATCTTTGATACAGTTTCATAATGATCAGTAAGAAGTACTTATTAATAAATAGTGCTGATGTCTATGTAAAATATGAAATATCAAATAGCTTTAATGGCTATATATAGAATATTATATATAAATGTATTTTCATTGCTACAGTACCTGATATATAATATCTTTTAAAGAACCTCTGATAGATACAGGCTGAACTGTTACAATCAATTTTTGTTCCAATGAAAAATCAAAATCACACATCGGAAATACGTATGGATGCTGAAACAAAGGGAATCAAAAACTATCTTAAAAAATGTATCAAAGCTCAAATTATCTTTTGTCAGTGGGCAATTGTTGGTTATCATGATGTTATGGTTTTAAAATTACTGGATGTTTGGAGACTTGAGAGAAAAGGGATGTCATTCTGTTAATTTCTAAGTACTAGCAAACTCAGCACTGCAGTGCTGATAGAGTTACAAAAAATGAACAAGACTGGAGACAAAAACATAATTGTTTATTCTAATTGGGGGGGTTGGACGGCCGAATGGTTAGCACGTGTGTGCTGTATCATAAGGCCTGTCATTGAGTCAACTGGCATGGTTTCGAATCCCTGGTTGTATGTGACAAGGAGTAGGGTCGCCTGTCCAACCTCGTGGGTTTTCTCCGGGTCCTCCGGTTTCCCCCCACTGCTAAAGACCCCTATGCGCAAGCGATTTATTGAAATAAAATTAGACCATATGTTAGTCCCGAAATGACCTGGTTTGTGTTGAGTGGACGTTAAACCCCATTTCTCTCTCTCTCTTTTATTCTAATTGAGTCTTATTAATTCATAAATATATATATTTTTTTAAATTCATGATAGTAAATATTAAAATTATTGAGAATAATTTTTTTAAATTCTTGATAGTAATCTTTTTAAATTCTCGTAGTAATTTTGTTAACTTCTTGACAGTATTTTTTTTTAAATTGCTGACAGTAATTTTTTTTTTAAATTCTTGACAGTGAAATTGTAAATATCTTTGACAGTGAAATAGTAAAACTGTATAAATTTATTGACAGTAAAATTTTAAAATTTCTTGACACTAAAATTTTAAAATTTCTTGACACTAAAATTCAGAATTACCTGTAGAATGGAGAACAGATCTTTCATAGTTTTACATGTAGCTCGGGTAAAGGGAAGGACCATTTTAGGATTTAATGGCATGATGCTTAATATTCTTTCACTTTTAGTTTTCTTATCTGTTACTCTAAACCAATGTTTATCTATGCGGCTACCAAGTTCTTTAAGTTGTTGTACATTATCATATTGAGGATTGGAACGCAAATAAAATTGACAGTTCATATATGCTGAATCTGAAACAGTAATAATAATCATGATATTACCTATATATAATCTAAGGTTACATTACATTTAATTATTCAGTTTTTAAAGTCAATTTCTCTTGTTTGATCAGTTTATATTTTGTTTACCAGTTATCCCTCATACCTTAGGAATAAAATGTTCTACATTTCTGCACCAACTGGGCTAATGAAGATGGTCATACACCATGCTGTGTGCTATGACGGAAATTTTTCGACGGACAGCAGCATTTCCGCCCATTCCTCGAATTCTAATTGTCAAGGGTCCTTTTAAGTGTAAGCCAATATTGAATGTGTATATGAGACCTCTGTGTTTCGTCCCGTCCAAATGACTGGGCAATGTTCCTTGCCAGGCCGTCTGCCCTACACCATTGACAAGGGGAAACTTGCTCACCCAGCATCTTGCTTACTGAGCCACGGTGACTCCACATTCCTCAGACAGGTTTTTGTAATTCAAACTTACCTCTAACAGCATTTAACTTATCTTGTCTTTCTTGTTGCATCCTTTGATTGACAGCCATATCATATTCGCCTAACCTGTCATATGTATAACCTCTTGACCTTGTAAATATAAGAGGTAAGAATATTATGTCTAAATATTTTTATCTCATTATTAGAAGCACTAGTCGTGATATATCCTTACATGTTCATATATTAAACACAAGTTGCAGACATTTTTAATTATAAAAAGGATAACTAAAGGGGGATATATTATAGCATCAAGATTGCAGACATACTCAAACAGAAGGTTTCTCTATTCACTCATTAGGCCAATATATAGAGGATATTTGTCGTTTTGTCGTGAATAACATATTTTATTTCATCGAGAAGCAAGAAAACTTAGAGATGAAATAAAATATGTTATTCACGACAAAACGACAAATGTTCTATTTATTTTATGATTTTACGATCATTTTAGGTAAAAACAACATGGACTACTGCTAGCCAGTGGAATAACACTTTTATTTCACTGATAAAACGCGGTATTCCACTACTGATCATAAAATAAAATGATTTATTGAGGATAGAAGTTTTGGCTAATATACTATTGTCTTGATTTTTACTTCTTTATATATAGCAAGCTTACAGTATCTTATCAAACTTTTAAAGACAGCATCACAAGGAAGGGTTCGTTCTTTGGAAATTTTTACATTAAGTTAATAATTGGTAAAAAAACATGATTTATGTATGTACCCACCTTCGTCGTCTGATACAACATACTATCAATAGAAACAAGACAGAAAGAACAACTACTCCAGCTATAACAGGAACCTGTAATAAAGAGTCTCCTATAATCTTAATTTATACATACAAGACTGAACAGACTTATGGGTTGCTCTTCACTTCAGTAGAACAATAATACCAAAATTGTCTGATTTCTCCTATATTCACAGATTAGCTGGATCAATGTTATTTGTAAATTCTAAGCTATATGCATATTGAAACTTTTAATTCCATAGGCCTATTTTCGTTTTTAATTGGGGGTTGGATGGCCAAATGGTTAGCGTCTGTGCGCTGTATCACAGGCAATGGAGAACTGTTCTGTTCACAGATGAGAGTCGGTATTGCATATCAACTGCAGATGGCAGGACCAGAATATGGCGCCGACAGGGCCAGCGTTATTCTGACCAATGTGTCATGGAATGAGACTCATGGAGAGATCCAAGCATAATGGTTTGGGGTGGAATCGGCCTAAACCAGAGAGTGGGTCCTGTGGTGTTCCAAAATCTTGGTCCAGGGAGAGGAGGGGGCATCACAGCAGTGCGCGACATCAATCAAGCTATGTCATCGAAACAACGTTTTCCAGCATGACAATGCCTGTGCCCACACCGCCAGAGTTACTCTAGACTTTCTACAGCGGAACTGTGTCAACGTTATGCACTGGCCAGCCCTTAGTCCGGACTTAAACCTGATTGAACATCTTTGGGATGAAATTCAAAGGAGACTTAATAGCATCGTACCAGCACCAAACACAGCCGATGGATTGCGCTAGGCTATTCTGAGAGTGTGGTTCCAGGTGCCAATGGCGTTCATCATTTGTCTGGTCCACTCCATGTACAGACACTGCGCTGCTGTTATTGACACTCGCGGTGGACACACCAGATACTGATGTATAGACTGTGTACAGACTCTAAACCTTCTCGTAATGTCTTGGAGTTGTGATGAAATAATCACTAATGTGTCAACATATGCTGTTCACAAAAAATTGCTTTGATCCATTTAGTAAGTCATTTTCTGGAATGATTTGACTACTAAAGTGACTCTCTGATTTTGAAATCGTACTGACGTTTTTTTGCTGTTTAGTATATTAAAATATTACAATTAACACATATGTAATATTATAATTAACACACATTATTCCATTAAGTCTCATTCTTATAGACTACTAGTTAAGAGGACTATGCTCTAAGATGTCATATCATTGTTAAGGTAACCCATAATTAACTCAACGATAGAAAGGTATATACCATGGTGACAATAGTATGAAGAGATTCGTAGGCAGGGCATTCTAGTAGGAAATGTAATTCAATTTCAACTTTTTGTAAAGAACATGGCATATTCTTTGGTCTGGTGGAATATTCTTATATCTGTCCCTTTCAATTTCGAGAGAGTGGGAACTGAGTCTACTAAGTTAAGACATTGCAATTTTGATATTCTTGTTATGAACATGACATGTAGTAATGTAGTAATACTCGCATTGGATTCTTTAGAGATCAGACTCGCATTGGATTCTTTAGAGATCAGACACACGTTGGGTTCTTTAGACGACCATTTTACGATGTAGTGGCTTCCTGAGTCTAGCCACACTGGTTAGACTTTTACAGGAGTGGGGTTGAGAGAAGGAGATGTTAATTTTAAATACTGTAATGCAGACTATTGTGTAACTGTTGTGACATAAAAACATATAGAAAAAAACTATCGTTGTTCCTGTTACTTATTTGAGTCGGTATTGTAAGAAAACAAAATGGTGAAGTCCTACACTACAAGAATAAAGCTGCAACAATTAGACGATCAAGGGGTGTTCCTAAATATGTAGTAAGAAACAATGCATTGGTTATACGCCGGATGTGGCTACCAGGTTTAGCGTCGACCGCTCTCAGCCTCTCCACGTCTGTCAAACGACCAATGGTGCTACACATGCAACAATAATCAGCAGGAGTGATAATTTGGGTTTTATATAATCCATAATATGTTCTTAATTTCAGACTTTTATTTTCATCTGAGCAACATGATTCAGTAAAAATTAAATTTAATACATGTAATTCAATAATTTAATTGTGGTGACAGATTCACTGATTCTTAGAGAGCTGATTTAACATTACTTATGATTTGACAATAGAAAGTCGATATTTCTTACGTAAATGTGATCTTCCAACCATTTCAATATATCTGTCATTGCGTGGCTTTCTGTTTAGAACACATCAGCGGAGAAAATTCATTATTCAACGATTAATCTTTCCATCTATGTTAAAACTCAAAACATTAATTCGCCATTTTGACATTAGATCTCATGACTAGTCACATGATATTAACACTTGGTCATCCAGTCAGGAGACTGGTTCACAGCCACTCGGAACAATTCTCGTTTTGTTTCGATGCGCTTGTGGCATATTGAACTCCATATTATAATTTCGTTTATTCGGTAAGGTCCCATGATAAAACCTTTCTAATAATTTCCGTAAAACAAGAATGAATGAATTAAATGGGGTTTAATTTCGGAACAACCGGGATAATAAAAATGAAATTAAAAGCGGCCATTAAAATGTGTAAATCTATCCTTACACAGCCATTAAAAGCATCAAATATAGGCTGCTTGGCCGAATTAGGAATTTTCCCTGTTAATATCGATATATTTCAAAGAATGGCTATGTACTATAAAAGACTAAACGAAAATAGCAATAACTTAAGTAACTCATTACTGAATTCTGCATACCAGGAAGACATAAAAATTTCGCAATCAAACCCAAAACTCTCCTGGTATGCGGCTATCCAAAATATCTTCAAAAAATATGACACTTCTCCAAGAACAGTTTCGAGACAGAATATTAAAAGTTCAATAGAAAGTAAGTTTAACGATCTCCTTGCTGAATCTTGCGGGCCGAACCATAAACTCAATTCAAAAAGAAATTCAATAACACTCCAAAATATCTAAAAAGAAGTTCAAAATTGCGATGTCTACCCTACGATTAAGTACTCACCAGCTTGCCATTGAAAGGGGAGATATCTTAAGATACCACTCCAGGATCGCTTCTGTAAAAAATGCAATGCAAGCAAAATTGAATCTGAACAACATTTTCTTATGGAATGCCAAAAATATGAAGATTTAAGAAAACAATATATATATCAAACTTTTGACAATACTGGTCTAACCTTTTCATTTGAAAATCTATTCGACCCACCGAGTATTATAGCCATAAGTGTCGCAGTCTTTCAGTCTTTGTCTACTTCTCTTTTCTTAGGAGAGACATCTGAACTGTTAAATTTGCATGATATTTTATTTTCTTTTATGTGCGGACGCTTTGTTTTGTATTTTGATATATTATGTACCCTGTATGTGGGTCTTATACTGTCGAGTTATGTGATTTAATACTTTGTACGTTTTGTTTCATATGCAGGTTTCATACTGTTTATTTATGAGTGCTCTGAATTTATGTCCGTCCATATTTTTGTATCCGTCCAATTATTTGCACCTATATTTCAGATATTGTATATTGTATTTTGTCCTCAAGGGAGGTTCCGATGCACATGTACTTAATATTTCGTATATTGTATGTTGTCTTCAAGGGAGGTTCCGATGCAATACTGTGTGTCTTGTGTTATAATTGTCATATTGTTATAATTTTATGTACATGTTTATATTGTATGCTGTCCTAAATGGATGTTTCGATGCAATAAAATCTTATCTTATCTTATCTTACTGCCAATGTGTACACGCGGGACCTCGGCCTTTCGTCCAATCCGAACGACTACGGGCGCGTCAATTACCCAATAACAGCCCAATAACTCCAATATGTTGACTTTGGAAACACAAAATAACAATTTAGTTGAATTTAAGAAGCCTCGCTGCTTTGTGCCCAATTCTGTACGGTTTTCGTACCACGTACAATATTCAACGAGTGCCATCTTCTGAAAATGACTCAAGTGCTTCGGAGCGGTCTTTATAGTGGTGATTTTCTTATTATACTCGTTGTCGCCTTTAAGTTTGCAGTAATACCGGTGATACAGGGATGGGGTTGTCAGAATGCTTTAGGTTTGTAGGTGATAGGCTAGTATTCGGAGGTAGAAGTACTCGGGGGTACTTGTAAAACTTTTGATTGAAGAATCAATGCGACGAAATGGTTGGAAACAAGGCGCCATTTCTGGGTTTAGTACAATTGGTGGTGTTTGATCATAATATCTTAACTGGTTCAGTATATGGCAGATGTGTGTCGGGTTGCAACAAGACATTACATTTTTGGAAAACGATGTCCTTAAAACTGGCGTTGGCGTTGATGTATGGATACACGGACATTGTTGGAATCTGTGTAACATTAGCTAATGCAACCATAGTCCAAATACTGGAATATAACAAGACCCAAGACCAACGCATTCGAAGCAGGATTCTTCATATTCTGGAAAGTATACACCAAAGTTGGATCTGTTTTTCATTGAAATATTTCCTGTTTTTTTTGTCACCATTTCAATACAAGCCATATCTTACCGCGTAAGGATTCATTACCAACCAGGTGTAAAGATAACGAGTTGAATAAACAATTGTCATCCGGAGTTGATTGGATTGGTATCTTTACTTCTGTTGTGAAATATTTAACGATATTCATGGCAACTTTATTAGTTTTCTTAAATACTTCTGGTTTGGTTATGGTCGGGTAAATTTGAAGACGGTTATTTGGAAAAAATGCTGATTAGCGTGTTGCTACAGATTGAAGTTCGTTATAACCACGTCGAGCAGCTTGTAATAAATAGATTTAACGTTGGATTTTTATTATCGTTATATTAATTATTGTATTCACACCACATCGCATTTTACAATATTATAAACTGAATCTTCATATCATAACTAAGTAATGAAAAGCTAGAAGGTTCAAAGTTTCGACAAATTAGATTGACGCCTCTTCTTGGTCTAAGCAGAAAATGATCATCGAACTTAGTCCAGGTATTGACTTCCTACCCAGGAGCCAAACTTTTAACTGGATATTTCCGTAGAATAAGAAATTAAAAACACAAATTAAAATTAATTCGTTTATATTTAATTGTAATTACATGTATCTATTGTTTCATGCATATAATTACAATACATTGCAACGAAAGCATACGTTAAAGGACAATATTGGTGCCAGTCATAATCACATATGTGATAGAGCTGGTTAAACATATTCCAAATATAATTTTAACACAGAGATCATTACTACGATAGCTGAGTAATACAGGTTTCCTGAATATGAAGTGACGAACGCCAAAGGAAAACACGAGTCATACCTCTATATAACTGACTGATGTGACGAGTGATAACAGATACACGGCCGAATTTCTGCTCACTAATAATTCCTTCGAAGACCAAAAGTTGTTGTGTGAGACTGTGAGAGGATATCTGACAATTCATAAAAAGAATTGACTGCCACTAGATAAGAGAACACGAAAGAAAAACAGAAAAAGTCCGTGCATTACCATGTTTTTATAAGGTATAGAATGAATATAAACAAGGGAATGTACGGACTATTTCTATTTTTCTCGTGTTCTCTTATCTAATGACATTCAATTACTTTATCCTCTTACAGTCCCATATAGCAACTTTTGGTCTTGGAAGGAATTATTTGTTCCCCGTAAGATCACAACATCAATGTTGATTTAAATTGACAAACAATTCGTGTTTTCAATGTCGAAGATTTTGGATGATATTGAGTTAGAGACTTAGGTACTTTAAATTCAACTAAATTGTTATTTTGTGTTTCCAACGTCAACATTTTGGAGTTATTGGGTGTTATTGCGTGTTATTTGGTGTTATTGGGCAGTTATTGGGTTTTATTGCGTGTTATTGGGTAATTCGACGCGCCGCAGCTGACAAACCCTCCGTCCTGCACCATTGACAAGGGGAAACCACGCCGGGAAAACCCGATGAACTTTCTCGACCAACATCGGGAGCGAACCCGTGACTTCCGTCTAGCGAGCCAGCGTCTTACTCATTTATATATAGCCACCGTGGCTCCTCTGGGCTAATGAAGACGAGAGAGAGAGAGAGAGAGAGAGAGAGAGAGATGGGGTTTAACGTCCACTCGACACAATCTAGGTCATTTCGGGACTAACACATGGTTCAATTTTATTTCAATAATTCGCTTGCGCGTAGGGGCCTTAAGCAGTGGGGGAAAACCGGAGGACCCGGAGAAAACCCACAAGGTTGGACAGGCGACCCTACTTCTTGTACAGCCGCGGAATCGAAACCCCGCCAGTTGACTCATTGAAAGACAGACCTTATGATACAGCGCGCACGTGCTAACCATTCGGCCATCCAACACCCCCTGATATATCATGGAAATCGTGGCATGACAACAACTATCAAGGGTTTTTGAGCACGCCAAGGTGTAGGCCTACACGTCGGACCCCTTGGTCATCTATTTCACCCTTACACTGTCAAGGGGGAAATGCACCGGAAACCCAAAACTTGGGAAAACAAACGGCTTGTCGAAATAGTAACAATGACGGAAAACTTTACTTGGTAGGCTATAGCCTACTTTGTGGGGATCGGATCTAAAACAAGTGTTTAAAGACTTTATAAGAAAGTTTATTACGATTGCAGGAGATCAAGACATGATAATTTTGGTATTTCTGTCATAATGTTAAGAATTGCAGAAAATAGACCTTGGAAAATAGAGGGTTACATAAAATAATATTTGCAATATTTTAAAAGACATCTTTCGTCGATTAGTCGTAAAAAAAATTAGTTCTTTTATACGGTCTACGGTTAAAGCTCGGTAAGATTTCTTTGTCTTAAATGAATGTATTGTTAACGCGCTTTAAACATTAAGATACAATAGACTTGGTGTAGAAAATCCTAGGTACATTTAAATGTTGGCAATAAAATTCCAATCATACTTTTTAGTTACACAATCAATCATATACCGCAAATTGAGCTTTATTTAAGCTCGACGTAAGACTTAAAATGAATAGATACAGTTCGTTTAACTTGAATGTAGATATTATATATCTATATAGGGCCTTTCGGTTCAATCATATCATAGAAGTATCTTATTTCATAGTTTTACATATTTCTCGGCATTAAGGTGTATATTGTTCCATTTAGCCTTTTCTTGTTTCATTTGACTAAACAAAATATTTTGTATAGGAATGCTATAAGTTTTTATAGATTGAACAAAAAGCTGATAAATGTTGGGATTAGAACATGTTCGAGGCGATTTGTAACAAATCTCAGACACGATATATATTTGATTTGAGCATCAGAACAACATAATTATTTCATTGGAAATGGGGCGCCAATACCCAAAGGAGTCGGGCAAACTCTTAACTGGGCCCCTTCAATGTCTGTCTACCTGTGGAATGACATGTACATTATTTGTATCTGTTAAATTTGTGCGGTTTATATATTAGATTAATATTAATATTTACACATGGGCGGGGAGTGATAATGTCTTACCCCAAACAAATTCCAAAGAAACCAGGAAGTTTCGGAGAGCGATATCTCGTATCACATGTCACTGATGAAACATATGCCCGAAACACATGTCACGCTAGACACCTTTTATTTGAATTACACTGATTTTCAGTTACTCTGATTTTAAATGTTTTATCCATTAGTCGACTTAAAGAAATTTATATTTTCGAAAAATTGATAATACAATTAATTATTAATGATCGATGACCGAAAACTGACACACAATCCGGAATGGCACCAGACCAAAAAATCATGGAATTTCAGGCATTTATTTTGCCGGCTAGAAGGCAAAAAGTTTTTATCTCCCAAATTACTGTTTAAATTTTCATTTTTCACTTTACCCGTCTTCACAAAAAATCTTATTTTTATAAGCGTATGCAAGTTAAATATATTTAATAGCGCTTTTATCTGGTATATCTTTTATTTCATTTTCTTATGAATTAGACTATTTTATTACAATAATTTGCGCTTTTTGTTGTATAGCCTAATAATAATAATAATAATAGTTTGTTCAGCTATACTTTTCGTTTAAAAAATGTATGTTTTATCTCTTTTTCACGGAATCCTATGACATATCTATCTACATCCCTGTCGGGGGCAGCCAACTTCGACACAACAGTATGATAGGACATTTATAAATAAGATAGGCCTAGTGAGTACACTTGGGACCAAAGATGGCGTCTTTGTACACTTGACGTCATATTTTCATGACGTCATATGAAATTTCTGGCTTCACAGAAACTGTTGTCGCAACATTATCTATACGACACAGGTCACGATAAGGTGTAGAACTAACATACGGTTTTGGGTAAATTGATTTTTTTTTTTAAACTGGGACAAATCCAGTGTAATTTTTAATATGGTTATACACAAAATATAATAAAGAGACAATAAACACAACTTCATGATCAAAATAGTACAAATAAAGTATTTATTATGTAACCAAAAAAAAAAAAAAAAAAAATACCCCGCTTTTTGGGGTCTAAATTTGTCCCACGTGATGGTATTATAAAAAGGTAAGTAATTTGATACTGAAGAGATGGATTGAAATCTTAAAATGAAGGTAAGGGATGTTTCTATCCACCAGAAGTGTCAAATTCCAACAATCTTAATAATTTTCAATAAAAAAAATTGTTTAAAAATGTCTAACGGACATTGAAAGAGTGGCTCACCACCTGTATCTACATTTATGTTTATGTTACAAATGAAGAGGCATACTTGAGTGATATGATGTAAGTATTTCTGTTGATCTAGAGACGTTTGAGAAGAAACTATTCGCATTTTCGAGCGTCCACTTGAGATTCCGTCAAAGAATCACGTCCGTTATTTGCGTTTATGATGATCGATATTTCCCGCCCCGTTTTAAATCCACTATCACACTGCAAATAAACTGGGCCGGTATTTATTAGCAAATTTGGGGCAAATATTAATTGGACACGTAACGTCTGTTACAAGCTCGCATGGTCTGCAAAATATGTATTTGCTCAAAAACAGAACGACAAGTTATCTTTTCCATTACAAAATTTGAAAGATGAATTATTAATACAAGTTTTTGACCCCCAAAGAATTGGAAAAAATTAATTTAAATTTAACTGCCTTTTCATCTGAAGTTCTACACCTTATCGTGGCTTGTGTCTTGTAAACGAATACAAAGCTTAAAAGCTTATCGGTTGCTTGTACGTCATAACCACACTGACGTCATCGAGACGTTGCCGGCGAGGAACTAAGCAGCAACACGAACACAAGTTAAGACAATCTTTCAAGTTATGCTGGACTAATAATAGATTTACCTGTAGTCTTTTTTTTATAGAAAGGGTCAGGTTTAAAATAAGGAAAGTATTTTATAGATAACCAAAGCGACAATGTATTCACCAGAACGGAAATGTATTTCTCCGGTTCGAAATGCTAGCAATGATGCACACAAGAAAAACAACGTAGGCGTGACCGCGGGTAAGGTTCGATACACGGGACAAAACCAAACCAATTCTACAAACACCAGAGCAGTCTCGCCTTCTAAAAGCAAGCCAGATACAACGTTTCAAATAGATGCTTTATCAGAGGTGCTTCGCCAACAGACAATACCGGTAGCAGCAGATACAAGAAAAAAGCTGAAAAAAACAGCTCTTCTGGAACATGGAGATAGTTGTAACGTACTACCCTCCAATGCCAGTGGCATAGAAAAGTTTTTAGTAGATCTGTGGAGAAACCAGCAGATGTGTGACCTCGTTCTGAAAGTCGGACGATATGAACTTTTGGCGCACAAACTTGCATTGGCTGCTCATAGTCCCCAATTTGCTCAGCAGTGTATTGTTGAAGCACCTACTGGTCCTTGTGAAATTTGTCTTTCGGACACAACAGTCGAAGCCACACAAGAAGTTCTCAAATACATATACACGAAGTCTATCACCATCACCGACGTAAATGTGGATCCAGTGTTATCTTGCGTGCGTCAGATTGGAGTCAAGGGCGCACTGGACAAATGCCGAGCACATTTAATGTCTTTCATGAAAGAAACGTCTTTAAATTTCATGTGGACGGCAGGGAAATACCAACTCATGGATATCTACTCGATCCTTCACGATTACGTTTGTAGAAATTTCGGAGCCATATCAAGAACTGAAGCATTTCTTAATTCTTCAGTGGACAATGTTAAAAAGCTGCTAGAAGACGATAATTTGAATATCGAACGGGAATTAGACATTTATTTCATAGCTACCAATTGGCTAGATTATAATAGACAGGAACGAATTAAACACACTAAAGCTATCTTAAATACAGTTAGATTTGCGCTGATAGTACCTGACGACATAGTGCAATACGTGGAACCCAATATAAAGCACTATTCGGAAGAATGTGGAATAATGCTAACTAACGTCTTCAGGTGAGTTATCAGTCGCACAATTTTATTGGGTAATGGGAGTTGTTATATTCACCGACTTCCGACACTTCCGAGTAGTGTGGGCAAATGATAAAACGGTAGACGAAGATGGCTATCCCACAAATTCCACGGTGTGATCACCAACAATGTTATAAAATATCGAGCAAGAAATATCCACTGAGGTTCTTTTTTTCATCTCGGTTTAGGATTGTTTATTCTTTTTTTTCTTAAACGCTCAAGATTTGATGTGATTAGTTTTCTTCTGTATTTCTTTCAGATACCACGCATTACGATATAGTGGGGGTGGATTAGACAAGAACTTGCCTGTAAGCAGAAAATACACGCCATATGAAATGATAATATCTCAAGCAGGTGATTACACCCAAAATAACTCACAGAATGCCCAGGTATGAATTTCCAATCAGTTCAAATACTTAAATAGAAAGCAATTTAAAGGCGATATTTGGCCACCTTGGTCTGTCGGACTAAAAGAACAAATGAAGCATGTCGGTCATATCATGTTATTAGTTAGCATGGGTACTAAAACTATCTTCTGTATTTGCTTCTCGTTTTACTTTAGAATATTAAAGACATGTAAAAGATAGCCTGCGTTGAGCTTTATATATAGTACTAGCGACCCTAATGTCTATACATGTAATTAGAAAGTGACAAAGTGTAGCTGTACAGTACTTAGACTTTGCCAGCGAAACGTTTCAAACTAATGGGTGTTTCTAAACGTGTAAGCATCATCTGCCTCCTATGCCACTCCTCTCTCCACTTACACATAGAATATCTCCCACAATCGGTCGACAAACGCAATCAAAGTCAGTCAGCCCAACAGTTTAGTCTATACTAAGCAACCGCAACTAACTAAAGAATTGTTTGTGTTCTTTTTTAGTTTTAAATTTAATTTGCATATTACGGTAATATTTTTATGTATTCCAGGTTGCGCTACCTAATCAAATCCATTGTTTGAAAGCCGAACCTTTAAAACAACCACAATCTGGTGGTGAAGAAAGATTTTTCACATTTGGCGGAATTGATCCTTATGCGTCTGATGGTAGTCAAGCATGTCGTATGGTAGAAGAATACAAGTCATCAACAAACAGTTGGCACCTGTTAACCAAACTTCCAGATACTAGACATCACCATGGTGTTGCTACTTTAGATGGGTTCTTTTACTTAGTAGGTAGGTAGCCATGCCCTGAGTCTTACTAAAAAAGATACTGTAGAGTATACATTATTTATTTCCATCATGAATGACCGAAATGCAAAATATAATTATGACAGGAATTATGACTTCCACATTCGCCAATTGGAAAGTCCTAACAACCCATCATCAGTATTTTATTTCCGTCTCTTTAACTCCCAATTTCTTGATTTGCTTGGAATATATTTAGAATGAAAAGTCCTTTCAAGAATAAAGCGAGACATGAAAGGTAATCTGACCACATGCCTTTCTTTGGAATCTGAAAGGAGTTTTAGCATTTATCATTCTCGTTGATATTACTAGATTATTATGTTTCCAGGTGGATATACAGTGGACGAAGGTGGCTCATCGGGTCCTACTAACTCATGCTATCGTTATAGCTACACGGAAAATTATTGGTCAAGAACATGCGACATGGAACATGCTAGGGCATACCATGGTGTAGCTGTTTTAGGGGGTGTATTGTATGCCTTGGGAGGTCAGGACGTTTCGGGAAGGTATGTAATCTGTAGCTGTACCGCAATCGTGCAGCGAGTCGAAAAGCTGCATTAATGTTATTTAGATTTCATACTTAACAAAAATGAACTTAAATGGGGTTTATGACTCTTCTTTTCTACGCCAACCAGTTAATGAAAATGGGAATACGCCATGCAGTGTGCTGTGGTGGATATTTTGGCCCGCATCATTGTATTCTAGGATTTGTTCTTTTATGTTTTTTTTGACATTGTTCTTTGTGGTGTTTCTCTCTGACAGACCAATTAATAGTTTACTTTGATTGGGATACGATGCAAAACCAAAAGTCTCTGCGGTGATAGCGACAGGGTGTACCGAGGTGATGGATTCGGATGTCATCAGCAAATTTAGAGAAAAAATTCCAATTTAATATACATTTATTCATTGCATGCATTGATGTTGGAATATCTTAGTTATAAAGTACAAAACAAAAATCAGAACACATCACCCCGATCCTGAATAATCTTCATTGGCGCCCAATTCAACAGCGAATCAAATATTACTGTTGACTTTCACCAAAATATATCAAAGATTTGATCACTCCATATAAATCCACAATAACTCTTAGATCCACAGATAAACAATTTCTGTATCAACCATCAATGAATCTTGGAATCGCAAAAAAGATCTTTCTCATTCTCTGCCCCTCTCTTATTGAATTCATTGCCTTACAAGGTTAGAACCATTGACTCCTTAAATGTATTTAATCTCAGCTAAAGAAGTTTCTGTTCACAGAAGCATTTCCATAGTTCAATAAAGAAAACTTGAAAAGCGCAATAGAAATTTCTGTTTTAATATTATCACGCTATATAAATAAAGGATTAATATTATATTATAATAACATTAGTATAAACTCTATTTTAAGGGATCTTGATAGTTTAGAATTCTACAATCCAGATACTGATGCTTGGGCAGAAGCAACACCACTTACAGAATGTAAGCGGGGTGTCGCCACTATTGGATACCAGGGACTTCTATACTGTATTGGAGGTTTCAATGTTGCCAAAGATAAAAAGTCGGTTTTAGCAACAGTAGAGTGTTTTGATCCTCTGCAAAATGTGTAAGTAGTATTTCACATTCCAGTGTCCACCCGCGACACTGAATTGTCATTAGATAGTTATTGTAGACCGGGAGCCCAGGTGGTCAATCCTAGCTGAAAAGTGTACCAATTTTCTCCTATATGGTATCAATGTATGTATATTTGGTATCATCAGAATGTAAGTCTGCCGGGTTTCTGGTGGTGGGTGTGGTATTCCACGCCCTAAATGTCATGATCCCCAACTAGGCTAGATTAGCTCAAAAGTGTACCACACGAAAATCTTACTGCAGTGTACCGTACATCTTCAGGTATTACAAAAACACTCTGACAGACATTTCTAGTGGTAGGGTACCCCTGACAGAGCAATGTAATTGCCAGACATTTGTAGTGGTGGAGTATCCCTGACAAGAGTTATCTAATATTTAGACCAAAGCTAGGCTAGATTAGCTGAAATCTGAAGCACCTAAAACACAGCTTTGGAGTTGTTCAGTACCACCATAGGAGTCATGAATGGCCACTGCCAGACACGCCCCAAAATGCCTCGCCCCCAACAAGGCTAGCTTCGCAGGCACTGTTCCCGTGTTCTAAAAAATTAGATTTTTAGCCAGGATGCGTAGGATACTAATACCTAGCACGTATGGAAGAGGCGATAAACTGCGATTGCAAGAAATTGATTTTTGGGCAAAAAACATTTTGTGGGGCTAAAAATGCGTTTTTGAAAAAAAAATCGTTCCTACAACCGCAGTTTATCGCCTCTTCCATATGTGCTAGGTATTAGTATTCTACACATCCTGGCATAATTTTTAATTTTTTGGACCACAGGAACAGTGCCGACTAATATATCCTAGTTGGGGGTCGTGTTAGGGGCAACCCACCGCACAAACTGTCTGGCAGTGGTCATTCATGATTCCTGTGGTGGTACTGAACAACTCCAAAGCTGTTTTAGGTGCTACAGATTTCAACTAATCTAGCCTAGCTTTGGTCTGGAAATTAGATAACTCTTGTCGGGGATACTCCACCACTACAAATGTCTGGCAATTACATAGCTCTGTCAGGGGTGCCCCACCACTAGAAATGTCTGTCAGGGTGTTTTTATAATACCTGAAGATGTACGGTACATTGCTGTGCGATTTTCATGTGGTACACTTTTGAGCTAATCTAGACTAGTTGGGGGTATGGCATTTTGGGCGTGGAATACCACACCCACCACCAGAAACCCGGCAGACTTACATTCTGATGATACCAGATATACATACATTGATACCATATAGGAGAAAATTGGTACACTTTTCAGCTAGGTTAACCCCTGGGCTCCTGCTCTATTGGTTGCTCTTTAGTGTCGACGGTACTATATTTTATTTCTATCCAAGTTTAATACCCAAAATGTGTTTGTATATAACTTTGATGAAACTTCGCATGATCTACTATTAGTTAACGAGTTCTTGGTCTTGACTTAGCCATATAGGTCAACAATATTTTGTAAACGCACTCGAGTCTACATTAGAATCTACATTTTTCATTCGATTTTCATAGCCTTGATATTTGAACTTGACCACGGTCTATTAATTGGTTGAGGATTTATTTCCCCTGAAAATACATTCTCTCATATTTTTTTTGTTAAACAGGTGGATCCGGAAAAATAGCATTACCACAGCACGTTGCCATGCCGACGTTGTGAACATCAATGACAAATTATTTTTGATTGGAGGTGCAACCTTTTACCAAGATTGTGACAACGTCTCAAGCCTCGATTCTATTTTACGATATAACGAGACAGTGGACCACTGGGATGCTTTCTCACATATGGCAATGCCACGTCACGATATAGGATGCGCTGTGATAGGTTTGTATTTAAATTTGTACTTCCCAAAAAAATGAAATAGGTTTAACACACCACTTTTCTGCACCAACGGACATGCTATGAGAGAATTTCAACTGACAATGGCGCCGGACGCCTTTATCCATTGGGGAAAAAGTCGGCTCCCTCAATGGGCGCAATACGAAGTCAACGACCAACGTGCCCACATCAGTATGGACACCCCATAAGGCCAAGTGACATCGGTTCGGCACACACGATCAGACTGGCGGGGAGCCCAACCAATGTCACTTGGTTTTATTGGCGCCTCGCCAATCATGTCGTTATATATGCGGTAAGGCTTCACATTTATTTCAATGGTAATTGGATTATTATATGTTAAGCTATAAGCAGTACAGTTTGGGGCCAGGTTGACTAAAAAAACTTGCCCAAAGGAACTGCTTAGAACGATCCACTACTATTGCTGGAGTAAGACGGAAGACATCAGTAGTGGAACCATTTCTAGTCACACTCTGACCCGATTCTCATGAATTAGTATAGGAACGCTAAAGTCGTATTCCTTCCTTCAAATTTTGATAATGTTCATATCAAAATGTCATAATACGCCAATATCTCAAATTCAGCATAAAAATTGAAATTTTCCATCATTTTTATAGTTCCTCTCCTCAGGTACAAACCCTATTTTCTTGCGGCAGACCACCCTAGACCCTCCAAAGGGAGGCGCGTCCACGGTGTCGTTCGCCGTGGATCGTCAAGTGTAGGTACATCGGCGCCCCCAGAAGTCCGTGCCCCCCCCCCCCCTCCAATATTTTTGGGCTAGCTACTGGCCTGCGGTTAAAACTCTGTTTTCGACTAGACGCCTTGTCAGGGTCTATGTCCTGCAGCGGAGACTAAGTCAAACCCGACTGGAAAATCCCGAGGAACTCTTTCAGCCAACATCGGGATCGAAACAAGAACCTATCCACTATGGCCCCTAAATCCTAAGTCGGCCATGACGAGAAATCTAAATTTGTTAACGAATAATTATATTTTAACATATCGTACAATAATTTATGTGAAACTGAAAAGCTGTATTATTGCAAAGTTACGATCTTAGTAGGTATATAAATAAAAGGTATTAAATTATTGGAAAGAAAACAGTAGAGATGGCTTTAAAGGAGCTAAATCGCTAACATTTGGGACCTAGAAATTCACAAAAGTGGGTCGCAACGCATATAATACTGTAATATGAATGTATATAAACTGATTTACATTTAATGGTTTCCGTTTTTACTCCAATTTCAAATCAGTTATGTTCGGCGAAATAAGTCAGCAATCTCAATCGAGTGCAAATTTCTAGCGTCTAGTTATTCTAGTCTACATAACTCCATTTGATTTGGTGCAATGTGTCTAGCCTCGTCCCCCGAGTCTCTCAATACAACTGGGGCTGAAAAAAAATATTTTATCTTAAATATCGGATATCAGAAGCTCATCTTTTCCCGGTAAGTTTACATCATCAATTTTGGACGATTTTGAGTTACGGACTTAGGTCCTTTAATGTTGCCAATTATTTACAGAATATTAGTTCTTATATTAAATATATATATGACTGATTTATTATCTATTTACCTTATAGATTTAGCCGTGTTTATTTATGGATCATATATCTCTCTAATGGGGGCTTTAGTTGACTATATCTCATTCTTCAAAACGCCCTTATATTTCTGTTGCCTGTATAATACTCATATACGACAATTTATGCCCCCCCCCCACCCTTTGTTTTAAATTCTATAATATTGGACCTATCTTTAGGAAACTGGATTCCAATTATCTGTGATCTCCAATTGTTTAAAAATTTCAAATTAGCAATAGCTGAATTGCATTGTAGGTTTTTCACGAAAAGAAAAGTTGCTACAACCTGACTTTTAGCAAATAGCTTGCGAAAACCGCGGTTGTTGCGAAAATGTCCTTAACAATCAATTTAACATCTATTTCCAGAAAGCAAGTTATACATCTTGGGAGGAATTAATTCAATGACTAACAAAACTCTTGATGATGTGATCTGTCTGGATGTTGAAACAGGAAACTGGATAACCGGGATAAAAAGATTGACAAGTCGTTCATTGGGAATTGCTTCGTGTACCCCTCCAGTACAAATCCGATAATATCATACCTATACATTAAACATTACCATGTAATATACTTTAAATTACATAATGATACAGATGCATGAAGAATGTCATTATTCGGTATACGGGTGCCGTAGTTTGACTAGATATCCAGTTTGACATGATAACAGGAACCCAAACATTAAGTAACCGAAGATTATTTAACCCGAAGCCACGGTGTAGAAACCCAGTCAAACGGGGTATCTAGTCAAACCGCGACAACGTAACAAAAGTATTTCATAAACGAATGTATAAAAGCTTACACAAAAAGTCGATTTCAAAAGAAAATGAAGTCTAAAATATCGGGTTGTCTGTGTTGTTATTCCAATGCCCCTAGCCATTTAGTTTGGGGTATTTCAATTCTGATCGTTGGATTGAAAGAGTAATCGGTTAAAACTGACAGTCCAATATAGCACCGGATATCCATCAATAAAAGTGGGTTTTACGTATGCGAGGATATGCCAATTACTATTCTGTTTAACAGGGTTAAGTAACTTATGTTCAATTCTATCACTTATCACCATAGCTTTGACAGATGCATAGAAATGGTCACCCGGGTGTATATAACGTGGGATTTAGGAATACATGAACAAAACCGGATGTAAACTTAAAAAAAGTACTTCAGATTGGATTAGTTTCTTTATGAACTTTGCCCCACCCACAACCCACCCCACCCCCCTAGAACATGACAAAATCACCTGAAATTGGTGAAAAGGGACATTTGCTTCTTAGTAACCAATTTCTTAAAATAATTAATCACATTCGGTAATTGTGTGCTTAATCACATAGATCACGTTTTTATTTCAAACTTACAATAAATATTTTACTTTCATTAACTGATCACATCTTGATATTCATGTTTGTAGATTTTCTTAAAAATATACAGTTTCAAGCGATACAACCCAAAAAACATCACCTGTAAGGACGGAATAACCACTATAAGTAAACCGCTACCAACACCTAGAGTTACCGGTGCATTGTTCCAATCCAGAACAACAGGGTATATAACATTATTGACTGGATCCGCTGACCAATAAATAACACTAAATACTAAATAAATAAGTCCATAAATGACCGGATAAATAACGTGAAGAATTCGAACAGGACGGGCACACAATGCCGTATCAATTAATACGACCACCGAGTTCATTAAATGTACATTGACGTCATGGAATAGGAGGACGCCATTACTGGGAAACAGTGCGATGTAATAGATGAAAGACACAATAACTGCCCACACGGAGATGATATTTGCCAATATCCACGATATCTTAGAGTACCACGGTGTTGGTTTGATCCTGTTGCCAGTGATTTCATCCGGATGGGTCTTTGAAGTGTTGCTGTCGTCAACGTAGCTATTTCTCATTTCTGTGTTGCCATTCTCTGCTAAAACGTCTTCAGTGCTGTGTTTGAAACCTTGGTTCTTGATTCCCCCGTTGACGTCAGTTCTTGCAGATTTAGCTGATTTGTGGGCTTTAACCATTGACCACACACAAATTGCACAAGCAATGTTGAAATGTGTGGTGAGAATGATGTAAGACCACGTTGTTAAGAATGCCATGGTGTGATGTGCTGTTTGGCCCACTTCCTTGGCATCTTCATAATGTGCGGTTACCTTGATGGCGTACTGAATAAGGGCTCCAAACGTATAACAGGCGAACAAAATCCGGTAGATGAGGAAAATAAACGATGGCCACTTCCACTGCAAAGGGAAGGAATACATAATTATTAGTTAGTATAATGTTATTGAATGACATGCATTTATAGTCTAATAATATGTTAATTTCTTAGGTGTCACACATTTTTGAATAAAATTAGCTAAAACTTTGGAATATCATGGTGTGCTTGCAGCAATTGTATCATTTTTGTTCGTGCAGTCAAATTGAAATAAATAACGTTTAACGTCTCGTCTACAATTCAACAGCCATAAGTAACTACATAATTTTATGATTCATACATAAGTATTTAATTAAAATTTGTATTTATGTACTACCAACTTGTTGGATGGGGGGGGGGGCAGTTTCTATACAATCTGAAGAACAGGAGACTTACTGTTGGCCAGAGCGAAACCGATTTGACATTTGTTTTTCTTTAGAAGATAACAAAACCGTCTTTTCGAGAAATTATTATAAAATCACCATCGCAACACAATTTAAATAGAATATTGAGTCGAATGGGAATGAGCTCCCTTGTCCAAAGTAACAGCCGTGTCAGACTCGGACAAAGATCAAACATAAAATAATTTCAATAAAGATGACAACGGTTGAGTTAAGAAAGGCTCGGTATGTTTAACGAGTGAATGATATACTATAATGTAATTACATATTTCCTTTCACAGTAGACGTACATCGGAAATACATTTAGGTCGAGAAGTTGAAAGTGTTTACTTATACAAAATAATTTGAAATTATGGTAATCAGGCAAGTTTTGTTTATGTTTTGGTTAATTAGATTCCTGTAAAATCAAAATTTTGAAGCTATCATCAGTATTGTCTCTGCCGCTGTCTGGTCAAAATGTCCCCCATAGCACACTGTATGGTGTATGTCTGTCTTTATTAGCCTAGTCGTTAAACCGCATTTAATTTCATTTCGTTTTAAGAGTGTAAGCTTATGAATTCTAAAACGGACTAGTTAAATAACTCTCTTGAAAAGATACTTCACATGATAAATTGGTTCAACCTTTCATCAATATTGACATAGACATCTAAGACAACACTGAGTGTACAACCATGAGTTATATAAAATCATCTTAATACTTGTCAATATTTAAAAAAGGACAGTGCAACTTTACTATATGAAATTCTGTTGATCAATTTCAAAATAACGTTTCCGGGGGAATCAACAGTGGGATCATAACATAAAAGTGCATTTTTAAAAGGAGTTTGTTTACGATACGTTATAAATAATTTATAAATACAAATCCTCAAATATCATATTTGAATGCCATATTTAAAAGGTATAAGCGGTATCTTGAAAAATTTTACGAACCAATTATTGTAGGATGAATTTTTTCCAAGAAGATACCACCAAATTGTATAAATATGATCTACGCTGTAGTATACCGATCATCCTGTATTATTACTATGTTTAATTCGCGTTATGGCTTCTTTAAGCCAACATATTATTCGAAGTATTGCGCCTAAAAAAATGTTTGATTTCACATTTTGAATTCTATGAGCACGAGTTAATCTACTCGAATACAAGCACTGCGGCGTAAAATACATAGGCGTACGGGCTCGAATTTTTTCGGGCTTGCCCCCTTCCCCCCGCCTAAAAAAGAAAAAAAAGAAATTTTGCCGACCGCAAACGCGTTTTCAATTTGGTCAGTCTAGTTAGCCTAACTTACAGTTCACGGAGACGAGTCCGTCGGGAGAAAATTTTGAAAATTTTAACTGTCGCAAACGCGTTTTCCTGCTATTCTAGCCCTTGAATACCGCAACTTCAATGTGGTCCAATATAGCCTACCTTAGGTGGCTGACCCGAATCCCAAACAAACATCCAATCGTCGCTGGATATGGGGTCTCGCCCTCTTGGAGAAAATTTTGAAAATGTAACCGCCGCAAATGCGTTTTTCTGCTATTCTAGCCCTTGAGTTAAGCAACTCCAAAGTTGTCCAATGGTTTTGTAACGGAAATCTCACTCAATGCCGACTTGAATTCCAACCATCCAATGCAGCTGCATTCACAAAAAATAATCGATGCCCGAAAATAACGCATAAAGTAGAGTGACTTCAGCCAAAATGTTTTATTCCATATTCATATCAGTACAAATTCGTGGTATTCAAATAAAAGAACATTAAAAATTTGTGTTTTATTAAATTTGGGGCACTTTATTTTGTCAACTATAGATGAAATAATTTTCTTTTTCTGCCCGAAAAGGCAGATTGCCATGCCCACCCCTCCCTCTGGCTCGTACGCCTATGGTAAAATATATAGATAATTTGTCAGATTATTACCGTTAATTGTTTTAACAACACTATAAAAAGAAACTGTGCTGGTTAATTGGTAGTCCATTGTCGAGTTCACTCTCTTTAATTTAATGAGATTTTACACCCACTAAACACAAATTAAGATTGGAGAAACACACCGGTTTGGGCAAGCGACTCTACCCCAAACCACTTGACTCGATGGCAGACCTCATGATCTAAAGCTCGCAGGTTAGACAACTAATTGGCGTGGTTGGGATTCCGCGGTGACAAGTAGTATGATAGCCTTCTCTGAATATATACAATGGCCGTTGGATGCAATACATACCAAAGTCCCTACATCACGCCCACGCACGTTACCTACGTGATGAGAGACCCTATATATATGCTATTCTACTTATTAGGCCCCTCCAAATCTCACACCCTTACGACTAGGGGAAGATGAAAAGTATGCTTTAATTAGTTTAAACACAACTGGACAAAGCCGACGATGATGACGAATGTTTATATTACATTATGCAAGAGCTAAATCTGCCTATTGCAAGTCTTTATTTAGGCTTCAGATGTTATAGAAATTATTAATTAGACCTTTATTTACACGACAAGCTCAAAATCATCTCTGTAGACCCACGGATGGCTTTGATACATTTTGGATTTAAACAGTCGTCCATTTAAAATTAAATGAATAAATGGTGGACCTAGCTAACGTTTACCGTCAGTCGCTGAAGTCACTACCGGAAACTGGCGATGAAAGGCCTGCTAAGCGAGGCTACCATAGGCATTGAGCATGTTACTTGATAATCGAGAATATGTGGGTGAAATTATCGTCTGTCAATCAAACGATCGCTCATTCTCATAGACGGTGCAGACACAATTGATGCCTATTTCTAGTCCAAACTTCCAACAGTGACAATTCCGTTCAGAACAAAGTAATTTGACTGAAATTTTCAACCTTTTCTTTTTTTATCATCTATTTTTGAATTACTATAGCAAGAATGGCCAACTCTTTATAAAACTCTTAACTACTGTATCTTTAATTAGAACTAAAGTTATCGTGTCACAAAGCATCAACCAATCCAATTGCTTATCTCTGCTTACCCTTAGCAGAAAATTCTCAACTCCATCAAGACCAAATGTGAACATCGTTGCTAAATTAGAAGGAGAGTTATTGTGTTCCAAAGTCTTGACCAATCAAATCGCAAAAAAAAAAAAAAAAAAAATCATTATAGTCAAGGTGTTGATGTACTACTAAAACTACACACAGTTTGATCACTCTCACTTAATCAGAACTAAAGTTATTGTGTCCAAAAGCATAAACCGGTCAAATTGCTTATCTCTGCTTACCCTAAACAGAAAATGCTCATCTAATAAACAACTACACCAAGTTTGGGGACATTCTAGCTCAATTAGAGGGAGAGTTACTGTTTCCCAAAAAGTGTGATGTACAGACAGACGGGCGGACCGACGGACAAAAATTATGCACCATTGAACGAAATCGGCAATGAAGAAATCTATTATTGACCAGAAGATATACACATGACAAAATATATATAATAAAATTTAATTGTCGTAAAGCAGGTGTCTTCTTTTGTCCAATCACAAATTAAATTTAAGCAATATCACCGAACAGGCGATATCACGTGCTTAAAGGGACAATAACACTCTTGCTGGCTTGACAGCCCCAGAAAATAAAAAAATAGCCTTATTCTAAGTACTAGATGTGTTAGTGTCCTACCTGTTGTGTAAATTATCCATTAAATTCTATTTTACTTGTCCAGAGGTTTCAAAAATATTTTTAAATCCAAGTCACATTTGAAAAGCTTTACGTCAGGCTTTTCAAATCATTTAGTTGAATTTTTCCAATTTATTAAATTTGGTGTGTTAAGATGAAATTTGTATCATCAATTAATTGGAATATTGTAAAATAGTACAATTTGTTAACCAGAATAAAGATTGGGACATATTATTCAGTTACAACAAGAGTGGTATTGAGCCTTTAATGTATTAATGAGTTGTAATCCTCATTCTAGTGCAAATAATTGATTACATTTTTCTTTTATAAGGTTGTATTGTAATCGTACTCTGGTTCTATTAAGTCAAATGCAGGTCGTTCTTATAAATAAATATATGTAATATGTATGATAATTGTAAAAACATTTTGATCAGTTACGCCCCTATACTAATGGCACAAAGCATACTAGTATCTTTACTCTGTGAATAGCGCTGGAACGGAAGATGTAAAATACTAAATATTAGTATTTACTCTATTTATAGCGCTGGGACAAAGGTGTGGGGATGTTGATAATAACAATGTGTTTTATTGCAACATTACTTGTTTAATAAATAATAAATAACAAACGGTTACGCCCACATTTTGCAAGAGATGGACGGGGAACAGTAAAATCAATAGGATTCTCATCGTCTTCACATCGAATTTGAAGCAAAAGTAGTTGAGTTTCGGTGCACACCAAAATCTAACTCATTCAATTTCTTTTGATCCTTATTCATCTGAATCGGACACAAATTGTAGTCCCTAGGATCTACAGAGAGAGAGAGAGAGAGAGAGAGAAATGCGGTTTAACATCCACTCGACACAACTAGGTCATTTCGGGACTAACATGGTTTAATTTTTATTTCAATAATTCGCTTGCGCATAGGAGTCTTTAGCAGTGGGGGGGAAACCGAAGGACCCGAAGAAAACCCACGAGGTTGGACAGGCGACCCTACTCCTTGTCACGTACAACCGGGGATTCGAAACCACGCCAGTCGACTCAATGACAGACTTTATGATACAGCGCGCACGCTAACCATTCAGCCCCATCCCCCCAGGATCTACAAACTTCATACATGTTTCACATACGTAAAAAGCAGGGCTATATCTTTAGAATGGAAGGTCCACAACCTTGGTATACGTGTAACATGCTTTTACCATATTTTGCGTAATCAGGAGAGACGATTTTGACCGAAAGTTTAGGTCCGATTTTCACGAAATTCGAACTCAACAAGAACGGTTTTTAAAATCAAATAGAAATGTGACAAGGGGCCGCAAGCTAAAAACGCGATTTTTCGTACAATCAGGGGCCATAATCCAAGAAGTTACGCTGTCCAATGTCAACGAATATCGACAGGAACCGCGGTCATTGGGAAATAAACATATGTTTTAAGTTTCATCAAAATCGGATAAATATTATGACCTCTAGAGTGTCGACAACCTTGGTATTAGGCCGACATGCTTTTACATTATTTGCGTAAAGGGGAGTAGATATTTTGACGAAAAATTTCAGCCCAATTTTCACGAAATTCGTACTGGACCATAATTATTCGGTAACAGTACAATCGGGGACCATTATAATCCAGTTTCGATATACGCCAATATCGACAGGAACCGAGACCTTTGGAATATAAACACACATTCTAAGTTTTATCAAAATCGAATAAAATTGGGACCTCTAGAGGGCCCACAAACACAATTAATGTAAACGGACACACGGACGCCTAGATGAAAATGGGGGAGTATAAACAAAGCTGTAAAATATGAAATTGCAATGATCATGTTCACTAAAACCACATGTTTTCGGTCTCTCGAATGCAATGACAATCGACATTTAAATCACTGGTTTCTAACCAGGAAAGTTTGCATTTGAAAAGGCATTTTATCTGTTAAACAAAATTATGTTCGACATCTTGTCTCATTATTTTATACTTCACGTAAAGGCATAGAAATCACACGCCCATTTGTATGGTGTATAATACTTATAACTCTCCTTTTGAAAATATCGGCAACGCTTACAAATAATATTCAATTACAAAAAATCCAAAGTCCAATGCATTGAAAAGTACGTCAAATTACACAAAGCCATGGCTGTCTTGATAGAAATGACGGATATTGATAATTCCCAAGGACTTAGTTTAGGGTAACTTATAGTTTCGACGTACTGGCATAACCTGTTCAAATTTTATAAAATAGTTTGTAATTTGGTTTCTATAAAATGATCATGTTTATCCCAAATTTATAATGAATTATCGAATCAATCAAACGAGGGTTTAACATCCTATTTGTCAAGACCAACCGGGCTTATAAAGACGGACATACGCATAAAGAATGCTATAATGTGGGATATTTTGTCCGTGTAGCAATTTGATTTCAACTTTCAAGGCTTCTTTTACGACCACACCAACGTGTACACATCTCATACTAACGACTACACGATCTTCCTTGCCATGCCCTCGGTTCTGTACCACTGACAAGGGGCAACTACGCTCGAAAATCCCGGGGAACCGTCTCGACCAACACCGGGATCGAACCCCAGACCTCACTGAGTTACCGTGGCTCCCTAAAATTATAACAAACCATTTCACAAAACAGACTATACAACCACAATGCGTCATTTAAAAACAAGTATCACGTTTACAATGTTCAACAAAAGATATTCACATTCTAAAAATCATTAAAAATACTCGCAAATTAATGGTACCCCCAACTTCAAACAATAGAATCAAATTTTATAAAACTGGTACCATTTTATTTCCATTCTATACGATTCATCGGCATTATCTTCTATAATCTATATAGATATGTGGGCACCAAGTCTTCTATTCCATAATAATATGTTCGATCCCTGCATTGGCCGAGAACATTCATCGGGATTCTCCGACGGGGTTTCCCCTTGTCAGTGGTGCAGGACGGAGGACCTGACAAAGGACAACTGTCTAGTCGTTCGGATGGGACCAAAATCTGAAGTCCCGTGCACGTAAAAGATCTCTTGGCAGTTGGAATTCGATATAAGAGTAGGATATAGTGCCGCTGTCCGGGCAAAATCTCCATCATAGCACACTGTCAGGCCTATGCCGTCTTCATTAGCTCAGTCGGAGAAGAACAGTAGGACGTTAAACCCCATTTCATTTCATTTCATTTCCATTCCATACGGCCGTCTGCATTAGCTGGGTTGCTGCAGAAAAATACATTAACCCCTTTTCATGTACTTTCTACATAATAAAATAATTGTTATATCATCTTACCTGACATGTATAAAAGGGTTCGTGGTGGTGAAAATTCAACCAAACGTGTTTCAAACGAAACTCTTCCCGTAAGATTTCCTTCGCGGCCATCAGAAAGCTATATTGTCAAATAACGTGAAATCGATTGTTTTTATTTTTCATGAAATTAAGAGATAAAGCCGTTCCGGTTTCCGACCTTTTCAAGCGCTTTATACGAATCCCGTGATTATCAAGAAAGAAACGATCAAACATTAGGAGCAGACGACCGCTAAGTAAAATGACATGTGATATTGCCTCGCTATACAAGTGTTATATACACGGATATCACAGACACATGTATATTATTATAATAATATAGCGTATCACCGGCGTGGTGACCATGCACTACTTACTCGATCGAGAACCTGCTGACGTGTAGGATATTATTACGGTTATTCGAACGGTAAATGGCAAATACGGAAAAGGATAAAGGATATATATTGAGATTGAGATCGGTCTACGCCATTCGTAATATTGATCATAAAGGCCACCTCAAAGAACAGAAATTTGTCTAATCAATAATTCGAATCATTTTAAAATTCGAAAAGCATGTTCAAGGCCCTGTCATAAAAAAACCCCGATTACATGGGTCACAAAGTGAATGCTTTGTTAAAGATACATTAGCTGGCAGTTCTCACTTTAACACTTAAAAACTCGATAATGTAAAGGGAATTTGCTGAAAATTTCAGCCAAATTGATCCACTCTGAACCGAGAATTTAATGGTTGAATTTTAGGCCTAGCCTCGATCATCATTACTAAAGTCGACACCATAAAAAACAGTCTCGATTATCCATTTTTTGATTTAATCATCAATGAGCGTTGAGCAGCAGTTCAGACTCCAATCCAGTAAATATCGCAGACTGCGTGGCGATGACATCGAGAGTTGATTATGGCCAGGATAAGTTAATTAATGGCAAGGCCTAATTAATAATTTAGATAACATTTCAGGCCTAAAGAAAGACCTGCAATGGGCAGATTTAGGTCTTGCATAATGTAATATGTTTAAACAAAAATGTTTTAAGTCAATCCGATTGGTTTTAAGTTTGGGTCTAAATAAAACAATACCTGGAGAGTTCTTTACTTCTAATGTCAGATCATTTCACTCTGTTGTGGCTGAGGAGTAAAATGTTCTACGACCAAAACAAGCTGGTTTTTTTGGGGGGGAATAAAGCACTATAGGGAGTTTATTACCTACATATATTAAGGTCCTTCCAGGAATATAGCATTATTTATTATTTCTATGTCTTTTACATGCACTACCATGACCATTCTTTGTGCCATCTGAAGAACTAGACACACTTTCTTTGTCACCCTGGCAGGTGCCACCCCTGACAATAACCAGGCTTGCAATTCCGAGGTTTTCATAAAGTTTAAGACAATCTGTATGTTAAAGTGCTAGAAACAGGTACTCTTTGGAAAACACGTGTCTAACATCTCAAGACTATTAAAATGTACATTTGTATGTCCACTACCACAAGTTATGGCCTGGGTACTTTCAACACCAATAAGCCCTCTGACATAGTCTACTTTACCCATTTTACTTTTAGCTGATTAATATATAGTAAATACTTGTTCCCGGACTTCTATGTTCACAATCAACCACAAAGTTTCACATATATAAGTTTCAAAGAGAATCAATTTTGTGGCACCTACTACACTTATGCTAAAATAGTATGGAGTTTTTATACGGGTTAAAAAAAAATGGCACAACTGCTATCATTTGGGTCAAAAATAAAACTGTCAGTTTTATTAAAATATATGGTTTTATATGATAAAAATCTGACGGAAATTTTTACATCCATAGATTAAACCAATGTTGAGATAGATAGAACAACCAGCGGCTGCCAGGCAGGATACTCCACATTTTGCAAGAAATGGATAGAGAACAAGCTAAACAAAAAGCGATTTTTCGTACAATCAGGGGCCATAATTCAGGAAGTTACGATCCGATATGCGCAAATATCGAAAGGAACCAAGATCTTTGGGTTATAAACTTACATTTCAAGTTTCATCAAAATCAGAAGAAAATTGTCACCTCTAGAGGGTCCACAACCTTGCTATACGTTGTTTTTACGCTATTTGAGTACGAGGGGTGGCCATTTTGTCTGTCAGTTTTGGTCCGATTTTCACGAAATTTGAACTCAACCATCCTAAGGGTGTAAAGGTGATATATGATATTCAAACTTTTTTTTAAATCGGATAATAATTGTGACCTCTAGAGGGAGCTCAAGCTAAAAACGCGATTTTTCGTACAATCAGGGGCCATAATTCAGGAGGTTACAATCCGATATGCGCGAATATCGAAAGGAACCAAGATCTTTGGGTTATAAACTTATATTTCAAGTTTCATCAAAATCAGAAGAAAATTTTGACCCCTAGAAGGTCCACAACATTCATATACCTTATTTTTACGCTATTTGACCACAAGGGGCGGCCATTTTGTCTGTCAGTTTTGGTCCAATTTTTACGAAATTCGAATTCAACCATCCTTAGGGTGTAACGGTGATATATTCAAACGGTTTTTGAAATCGGATATAAATTATAACTCTATACGGTTCACAAGCTAAAAACGCGATTTTCCGTACAATCAGGGGCCATAATTCAGGAAGTTACAATCCGATATGTGCGAATATCGAAAGGAATCAAGATCTTTTTACGAAATTTGAATTCAACCATCCTTAGGGTGTAACGGTAATATATTCAAACGATTTTTGAAATCGGATATAAATTATAACCTCTGTAGGGTTCACAAGCTAAAATCGCGATTTTCCGTACAATCAGGGGCCATAATTCAGGAAGTTACAATCCGATATGTGCGAATATCGAAAGGAATCGAGATCTTTGGGTTATAAACTTACATTACAAGTTTCATCAAAATCAGAAGAAAATTGTGACTTCTAGAAAGTCCAAAACCTTGATATATCATATTTGTACGCTATTTGAGTCTGAGGGGCGGCCATTTTGTCTGTCAGTTTTGGTCCCATTTTTACGAAATTCGAACTCAACCATCCTTAGGGTGTAACGGTGATATATTAAACGTTTTTTTTTTTAATCGCATAAAAATTATGACCGCTATAGGGTCCACAAGCTAAAAACGTGACTTTTCGTACAATCAGGGGCCATAATTCAGTAAGTTACGGTCCGATATGTGCGAATATCAAAAGGAACCGAGATCTGTGGGTTATAAACTTACATTTCAATTTTCATCAAAATCGGATAAAAATTGTGACCTCTATAGGGTCCACAAGAAAAAAACGTGATTTTTCGTACAATCAGGGGCCATAATCCATGAATTTTCGGTCCGATACATGCTAATATCGAAAGCACCCGAGATCTTTTGGAGATAAACTTACATTTCAATTTTCATCAAAATCAGATAAAAAATTGTGACCTCTATAGGGTCCACAAGCTAAAAACGTGATTTTTCGAACAATCAGGGGCCATAATCCATGATGTTTTGGTCCGATACATGCTAATATCAAAAGCACCCAAGATCTTTTGGAGATAAACCTATATTTTAAGTTTCGTCAAAATCGGATAAGAATTGTGACCTGTAGAGTGTCCACAAACAATTGTGGACGGACGGACGTCGGGACGGACAGGGGCGACGGCAATATACGTCCACATGAAAATGTGGGCGTATAAAAATGTGACCTCTATGGGGTCCACAAGCTAAAAACGTGATTTTTCGTACAATCAGGGGCCATAATCCATGATGTTTCAGTCCGATACATGCTAATATCGAAAGCACCCAAGATCTTTTGGAGATAAACCTATATTTTAAGTTTCGTCAAAATCGGATAAGAATTGTGACCTGTAGAGTGTCCACAAACAATTGTGGACGGACGGACGTCGGGACAGACAGGGGCGACGGCAATATACGTCCACATGAAAATGTGGGCGTATAAAAACTACAGTTTAATTGTAAATAGCATATTGAATCCTTACTCAAAGTTAACTAACAGATCAATTTAATTAAACAGTTTATTAAATTAAAAAGGTTTAACTTTAAACATACATTATGCAAGAGCTAAATCTGTCTATTGCAGGTCTTTCTTCGGGCCTGAAATGTTATCTAAATTATTAATTAAACATTAATTAACTTATCCAGACAATAATCAACTCAAGATGGCATCGCTAGCCTGCGATCTTAAGTGGATTGTGAGCCGATTTACTGCATAAATTTCCTTCTCGATTAAACGATTAAATGGATAATCGAGACTATGCTGTTTACCGTACTGACTTTAGTAATGAGTACCGAGGCTAGGCAGAAATCTCATTCGCTTAGTTTTCGTTTCATAGTGAATCAATTTGAATGAAATTTTCAGGAAATTGCCTTTACATTATCTCGTTTTTAACTATTATAGTGAGAACTGCCAACTTGTTATCGAATCTCCCATAATGTATCTTTAATTAAACACCTCTAGCTCTATCTCATTGATGTTTTAAAGGTGGCTATTCCCGGTATCAACCTTCTGTAGAATCATTATAGATTGATAGTGAGGTAGGAATTTTATTTCAAAAACCTGGAAAGTGGTTGATATCTACTACTTACAGAACGGGTGATGCAATGCACAATGTTCATTTCAACAGAATAACCAGTTTATTTACATGTCAAATTATGCAAACCATCTCAAAGGTTAAACAATATGAGACCATCTCCATCTTATAACCATGCAGCAACATTGGGTGTTTATATTCATCAAACTGTTTGATAAAACGAGAGCATCACTAACGCTGCAATATACGCCCACATTCCAGCTTTGATTGATATGGTACTTTTTAAAATGAAGAGAATGAAATATGAAATGGCTGTAATGTGACAAGAGGAAAAGAAGGCTAGGCATTGGGTTTGTTTTGCCAAATTTACCGACAAAATATTAACAAAGAAAAGTGGGTGCGACACCGCCCCAGGGGGTCAGGGCATTAACCAAAATAAATAGTTGCTGTCTTTACGGTATAAGGTATAAATATGCAAAGTTCCAAGATGATCCATTCAGAATTGCAGCCTATAGACGATAAGTACAAAAATTGGGCGTGGCTCTGCACCTGGGGGTTGGATAAGGAACAATATAAATAGCTACCAGTACCACCATGTTATTGAAATGACTGATATGCTGAATTTGAACAAAATCTGTTAATTTTTGCAACCTGTAGAGTATTTACAGATAAAAACTAACAAAAAAGGGGTTGTGACATGCACCAAAATAAACAGTTGCTATCCTTACAGTATAAGGAATAAATATACCAAGTTCCGAGATTAATAATATCAACAAAAAGTGGGTGTGGCACTGCCTAAAGGGCAGGGGGGGGGGGGGGATTGTGCACCAACATCAATAGTTGCCGTCATTAGGGTATAAGGAATAAGTGTACCCAATTCCAAGATAATCCATTCAGAATTGTGGCCTTCGGGCGCTAAAAGCCAAAACTGGGCGTGGCTCTGACCCCCTGGGGTCGGACATGCACCAAAAAAAAATAGAGGTCATCCTGAAAGTACAAGGAATAAGTATGCAAACATACATTATTGACTTTGATGAAATAAGATCTGCTTCATAATAATCATAAAGACAAATTTCATTTAGATGGTCAGAAACAGTTATCAATAACAACTTCAAAGGTTGTTTACTGTTATAGACGGAGGCTGAGCGTGGGGAGGGGGGGGGGGTGTCCATCAAATGGGCACAAAACCAGAACCAACTTTTCTAGGGTAAGCGTAGAATACGATGCCGAGTGGTAATCAGTCCGCCGTTGGGGCGTTTTCGAGATATTTGAGGTCAAAGGTCAAATGAGTTCATTTGCACTGAAAGGGAATGCGTAGTCATTCTTGTATTATGAAAAGAAGCTGAAAATGATCGACAGTAATCACACTTTCAATAAAAATGTAAAACTTGCTAAATTCACCTTTAGTCTTAGTGACCCTGGAGGTCAAAAGGTAAAATTTACCGTTTTTGCTCTAGGGAGATTTAAAGCAATAAAATGTCAACGTAAAATATAAAAACTAAAGCGAAACCTGTTCTAATTAACATTTCAAATTTATCTTTAGGTGGCTTTAGCACAGAACTTTTACTTTGGAACGTCAAAATGATCTTGCATAAAAGAACCAACACATTTTGAAACCTTTTACAAAAATACGTAAAAATTGTCAAATCGAAATCTCTCCGATTTATTTTCACAGCGATTGTTATAAATAATGATACTAGTTATCTGAAACACAATTGAATAGTTTCAGTGTTGGATTCCAGCCTGTAGGTCGCGTGGATTTCCGAGAATCCCAGTCTAGGAAAACCTCCGTTAATCTGTGACGGGAAACACATATTTTACGACGAGATTAAATGTTCGCAAATTTTTTTATGAGTTTTTATGAATTTTGCCGGAACATGGACGCAGATAAAACCGACGAATGCATTGTACATAGTAGTTCATAGGATATATATGTCGTATTGGTAAATTTTAGCGGGGAAAATTTTGGCAGGCTTTGTGACACGGCCTGCAGGCTGCAGTCCAGCTATGGAACTATTCAATTGTATTTTTCAGACAACTATATCATTATGTATAGCATTTGGAGAGATTTTGATTTAACAGTTTCTACGTATTTTTGAAACAGGCTCCGAAGCGTTTTGGTTCTGTTATGCAAGATCATTTTCGACGTTCCAAAGTAAAAGTTCTGTGCTAAGACCACCTAAAGATAAATTTTAAATGTTCCTATTATTAATTAAAACAGGTTTCGCGTTAGTTTTTATATTTTACGCTGACATTTATTACTTTAAATCTTCCTAGTGCTAAAGCGGAAAATGTGACCTTTTGATCTCTGGGGTCACAAAGAACAAAGGTGAATTTAGCAAGTTTACATTTTTATTGAAAGTGTGAATACTTTCGACCATTTTCATCTTATTTTCATGATACAAGAATGACCGCGCGTTAACTTTCAGTGCAAATGAACCCATTTGACTGATTACCACTCGGCATCGTATTCTACGCAAAATTTCACTCTAGAAAAGTTGGGTTTGGTTTTGTGCCCATTTGATGGACACCCCCCCTCCCCGCACTGAGCCTCCAGACTATTATACTTTAGCTTCTTTTTGTTCCCCCTTCAATTTTATGTTACTTTACTTTTACTGTCTTTCTTAAATTATAAATACTTTCGTCTCATCTTCTGTTTATTCCCTATAGTTTGTACAGTTTATGATAATAATACAGGTCAGAAGTATAGTCCCTTCATCAATACTAACCTATAGTTTATACCACAACTGCAAATTACAGACTTAAACATACATTATGCAAGAGCTAAATCTGACTATTGCAGGTCTTTCTTTAGGCCTGAAATGTTATCTAAATTATTAATTAGACATAAATCCATACCATAATCAACTCTCGACATCATCGCTAGCCTGCAATATTTACTGGATTAGCATCAGATTTGCTGCTCAACTTTCATTCATGATTTAATCATGAAATGGATAATTGAGACTATGTTTTTATCATCGCGACATTAGTAATGATGATTGATGCTAGGCCGAAAATTTAATCGCTAAATTCTCTGCTCAGAGTGGATAAACTTCCCTTTTCATAATCTAGTTTTTAACTATTATAGTGAGAACTGCCAGCTCTTTATCTAATCTTCCATAATATATCTTTACACAAAAAAAAAATGGGCGTGGCTCTGCCACTGGGGGTTGGGCATGCACCACAAACAATAGGAATTAATATGCAAAGTTTCAAGATGATACGTTAGAAATGTGGCTTGTAGATGAAAAACAAATACAAGCAATGGACATGGCTCTGCCACTCGGGGTAGGAGATGCAACAAAAACAATAGGGATCATTCTTAGGGTATAAGGAATAAATATGAAAATTTTTCAAGACAATCGATTAAGAATTGTGGCCTGTAGGCGACACACAGACACACAAAAAGAAAATGGGCGTGGATCTGCCCCAGGGGGTTGGGCATGCACCACAAACAATAAGGATGTTCCTTAGGGTATTAAGTATAAGTATGCAAAGTTTCAAGATGATACGTTAAGAAATGCGGTCTGCAGATAATAAAAAAAAACAAATACAAGAAATGGGCATGGCTCTGCTTCTGGGGGTCAGTCACACACCAAAAACAGTAGGGGTCATCCTTAGGGTAAAAAAAGAGAGAGAGATAGAAATGGGGTTTAACCTCCACTCAACACAAATTACAGTAAACTTCGCATAAAACCGTTTAGACCCTTTGATCCGGCACGTTTTTCTTATTAAATTCCTGTGCGTAACTCAAATTTCCTAATTCGGATCTTTGCTCAACTCGGATCAAAATGTTCGGTCCATTTGATCTAATTATAGCTTTTTCCTTCGCCTAAGTATGTTCAGAATTTGACTAAGTCAGTTTCGTACCGATGGCCTAAAACGCACAGAGCCCCAAAATATTTTCCCCTATCATTTTGACTCAAATCAGCCTATTTGACACAACGCAATAATAGGCTGTCTGCTGTACGAGATACTTTCCGGGAAAATTTAGGACATTTTTCAAAGATGGCGACAAAATGGAAGTTATCTACTCGCACCAAAACGGAAGTTATCTACTTGCACATACGAACAAAAGCTTGAAATGTGTCGTTGAATTATTTGTTTTCCGGCTCTTGCAGTTTATTTCTAATCAAGCTAAAATTGAATTTCGGTCTTCAGCTAACTCGGATCTTCGCTTAACTTAGATAAAATTGGTCAGTCCACTTAGATCCAACTTATGCGAAGTTTACTGTAGGTCATTTCGTGACTAACACATGGTTCAATTTTATTTCAAGAATTCGGTTGTGCGTAGGTGACTTTATTTAGCAATGGGTGGAAACCAGAGGACCTGGAGAAAACCCACAAGGTTGGACAGGCGACCCTACACCTTGTCACGTACAACCACGGAATTGAAACCCCGCCAGTTGACTCAATGACAGACTTTATGATACAGCACGCACATGCTAACCATTTGGCCATTCAACCCTGAGAGTAAAAGGAATAAGTATGTAAAGTTTCAAGACGATCACTTAAGAATTACAGCCTGTAGGCGACACACCCACACACGCAATCACAAACACACACACACACACACAGACAGGAGCAACGGCAATATACGTCCACATCTAGGTCCACATCTAGAAACCGGAGGTATAAAAATGACAAAACAATCAATTTCAGCCCATGTGAATTTTATTTTTACAATTCTTTATAGAAAGAAAAACAGTTACATAGTTTGCATTACCTCTTATTTTATTCATCCACTCACTGTTTCACTCACCCATTTTTTCCCTTTCATTCACTCATGCTTCCCATGATTATTTTTTTTCCTCTGCCTTTTCCAGTAACTTTTTCTTGAAATGTTTTCTCTTCCTTTGTAGTTTGATGTCTTTTTCCCATTGCTTTCTGTACATTGTATATAACCTCATAGCTGCCTGAGCATCTGTAACCTGAAAAACATGAGTCCAAGTGTTAGTGGATTGGGTTAGGTCATCAACATATTAAAAATATTTGAGAAAAATGTCTCCCTACATACACCTGTTCCTGGGTGTAAGCAAGTTTATTTTACACATATCTCTGCCTATCCACAAAATGTTTTTCAAGTTTTAATAAGAAAATGAAGAAAATTGTGGAAAATGGACCAATGCACAAAAGGGCTATCACAATGTACGGCTAGACTTCATTGTGAACATATTTTAAACCATCAGTTGCCAGGCGAGATATGCCCACATTTTGGAAGAGATGGACAGAGAACAAGCGATTTTTCGTACAATCAGGGGCCATAATCCAGAAAGTTATGGTCTGAAATGTGCAAATATCGAAAGGGACTGAGATCTTTGGGATATAAAGATATTTTTAAGTTTCATCAAAATGGATACACATTTTGCGTATAAAGTCCGGCCATTTTGTTGTGCAGTCTGTTTCGATTCCCCCCTTCATTATGGTGGAATAATGATATATTTAAACAGTTTTAAAATCGCATAAAAAATTGTGACGTCTAGAGAATCCACAAACTAAAGAGCATGATTTTTCATGCAATCAGGGGCCGTAATCCAGGAACTTATGGTCTTATATGCGCAAATAGCAAAAGGAACCAAGATCTTTGGGACATAAACATATATTTTAATTGTGACCTCTATGATGGTCCACAACCTTGATATACCATATGTTTACACTATTTGCGTACTAGGGGCGGCCATTTTGTCCGGATGTTTTGGTCCGATTTTCACAAAATTCGAATTCAACCAACATTACAGTGTAACAGTTATATATTTGAATGGGTTTTTTTTAATTGGATAATAATTGTGAACTCTAGAGGGACCACAAGTTAAAAACACGATTTTTCGAAATAATCAGGGGCCATAATCCAGTATGTTAGGTTCGGATATGCACGATTATCGAAAGAAATCAAGATCTGTGTGATATAGACACAAGTTTAAAGTTTCATCAAAATATGATAAAATTGTGGCCTCTAGAAGGTCCACAACCTTGATAAACCATATTTCTACACTATTTGCGTACGAGGGACGGCCATTTTGCCGGCAGTTTTGGTCCAATTTTCACGAAATTCAAGCTCATCAGGGTGTAACGGTGATATATTCACACAGTTTTTTTAAATCGGATAAAAATTGTGACCTCAAGAGGGACCACAAGCTAAAAATGTGATTTTTCGTACAATTAAGGGCCATAATTCAGGAAGTTACGATCTGATATGAGCGAATATCAAAAGGAACCAGGACCTTTGGGTTATAAACATGTATTTCAAGTTTCATAAAAATCGGATCACAATTGTGACCTCTAGAGAGTCCACAACCTTGATATACCATATGAATACACTATTTGCTTACACAGACGGCCATTTTGTCCGGCAGTTTTGGTCGGATTTTCACAAAATTCGAATTTGACAAACATTATGGTGCAACAGTGACATATTTGAACATTTTTTAAATTTGATAATAATTGTGACCTTTAGAGTGACCACATGCTAAAAACGTGATTTTTCATACAATCAGGGGCCATAAGTCAGGAAGTTACGGTCCAATGTACGCAAATATCGAAAGGAACCAATATCTTTGGCTTATAAACATGCATTTCCAGTTTCATTAAAATCAGATGAAAATTGTGACCTCTAGAGTGTCCACAAGCTAAAAACATGATTTTTGGTACAATCAGGGGCCATAATCCATGAAGTTATGGTCCGAAACATGCCAAAATTGAAAGGAACTGAGATCTTTGGATGATCGGATCGTCAAAATCGGATAAAAATTGTGACCTGTAGAGTGTCCACAAACAAATTGTGGACAGACGGACGGGGGCGATGACTAATATACATGAAAATAGTTTACATTAAATTCTAATAATTCCAGGAAGCCATCTTGTTACTGAGCACCTGAAAGATAATTCATTTCTATCAAAAAATTTAAGTAACATGATTTTATTCAAGTCTGTTAAGATGATAGATCATGTCACAAGAACTTACAGAGTTATGTTCCCCTTCCTGTATAGAGACACCAATGACTTCTTTTGTCAGTTTTTTCAGTGATGGTGTTCTAAAGCCAAATAAACTTCGATAACCCTTGTACTTGGATGTATCTCGAATATTTTTCTTATCATGTTGAAGATAGAGTACCTGAAAATAATAATTAAGAGCTATTTTACAAGGATAACATTTAATAAGAATCTTCATACAACTAATATTAGCAACCATATTTCAGTTATCTGAAATCGTTAAAAAAACAAAACACAGCTATACATATAAATTCTATATTCAAAGACATTCATAGCAAAGATAGGTTGTCAGACACTATCATCTGGGCAGTTAATAAAGGATGTTGTATTGAGAATCTTTTAGGTAATTTAAAAGTAAAATATCCTTGGTGCACTGACAAGATTCTATGACATAATCAAGTTATAAGTAATTATCAGAAACTGTCATAATTTTAAGTACAACAGCAAAAAAAAAAAAGTTCTACAGAGTAAGCAAGGGCCATAACTTTAGGATTAATAAATGGAAATTATTGAAATTTCAAGTAGAGAGGAAGAGAACCTTTTTTGATAGAAGTATCGAACCAGCGGTTGCCAGGTAAGATAGCCCACATTTTGCAAGAGATGGATAGAGAACAAGCTAAAAAAAAAAAAAAGCAATTTTTCGTACAATCAAGGGCCATAATCCAGAAAGTTATGGTCTGAAATGCGCGAATATCGAAATGGACTGAAATGACATACTTTATACTATTTGCGTACAAGGCGTGGCCATGTTGTTAGGCAGTTTCGGTCCGATTTTCAAACTCGACCGTCATTAGGGTGTAACGGTGATACATTTAAAAGCTTTTTAAAAATCAAATAAAAATTGTAACCGCTAGAGTGTCCACAAGCTAAAATCAGGTGCCATAATCCAGGAAGTTACAATCCGATATGTGCAAATATCGAAAGGAACCAAGATCTTTGAATTATATTCATACATTTTAAGTTTCATCAAAATTGGATAAAAGGTGTGACTTCTAGAGTGTACACAACCATGGGGTTCCACGTCGGCCGTATATGCCGGTCAGGACCTAGGGCTATGGAAAATGAGCGTAACTAGAGCTGACCCAACGGCCATTTTGCATGCCGGAAAGAGAGCCTTTTTTTTTCAAAACCCAATTTTCAAACATGGCTACGATCGACCTCTACAATACAATTATACGGCCTGTACAGAATAATCCACACGTATAGAAGCCACATAATCTCGTGATTGGTGTTATAGAGTTGTATACAGTCGTCAACAGATTATACTGAGTGTTGTGTTGATAATGATGAGTGTCCGGTAGTAGAACAATAATAGTTAATTGATATGTGGGAATCTAATCAATGGCGTGAAGCGGCCCATTTTTAATCATTCACGTATTTTCCATGTCATAAGAATTTTCTACAACAAAGCCGTTTACCGCTATTACGATCACGCACGATGTAAACGAGGTTATTATGATCTTCGAAATTTGAATTCAACCTTCTTTGATGTGCAACAGTGATATATTTAAACGTTTTTTTTTTAAAATTGCATACAAATTGTGACTTCTAGCGGGTCCATGAGCTAACTAGGCTGCCAGGCAAGATATGCACGCATTTTCCAAGAGATGGATAGAGAACAAGCTAAAAACAAAAGCGATTTTTTGTATAATCAGGGGCCATAATCGAGAAAATGATGGTCTGAAATGCGCAAATATCTAAAGGGACTGAGATCTTTGGGATATAAAGATATGTTTTAAGTTTCATCAAAATCGGATAAAAGTTGTGACCTCTAGAGGTTCCACAACTTTCGTATAACATATTTTTACACAATTTGCGTACAAAGAGCAGCTAAGTCGGGCGGTTTCGTTTCGAATTTCCCGAATTTCGAATTCAACACTCATAATTGTGGAATGGTGATATACTCGAACTTTTTTTTTCGTACCATCAGAAAGTTACGATCCGATATGCATGAATATCGAAAGGAACCACGATTTTTGGATGATAAACATGTATTTCAAGATACATCAAAATCGGATCAAAATTGTGGCCTCTAGAGGGTCCACAACCTTGATACAGCCATTTTGTCTGTCAGTTTTGGTCCAATTTTCACAAAATTCAAACTCAACCGTCAATAGGGTGTAACGGTAATATATTTAAACGGTTTTTGAAATTGGATAAAAAAATTTACCTCTAGCGGGGGCCACCAAGCTAAAAACATGATTGTTTCGTACAATCAAGAGCCATAATTCTGGAAGTTACCATCTGATATGCGCGAAAGGAACCAAGATCTTTGGGTTATAAACATGTATTTCAAATTTCATCTTAATCTGATCAAAATTGTGACCTCTAGAGGATCAACAACCTCGATATACCATATTTTTACACTATTTGCGTAGGAGGGGTGGCCATTTTGTCTGGCAGTTTTGGTCTGATTTTCATGAAATTTGAACCCAACTATTATTACGGTGTAACAGTGATATATTCAAACGTTTTTTTAAATCGGATACTAATTGTGACCTCTAGTGGGACCACAAGCTACAAAACGTGATTTTTCGTACGATCAGGGGCCATAATTTAGGAAGCTAGAATACGATATGCGCAAATGTCGAAAGAACCATGATCTTTAGGTTATAAAAAGACATTTCCAGTTTCATCAAAATCAGATGAAAATCGTGACCTTTAGAGTGTCCACAAGCTAAAAATGTGATTTTTCGTACACTCAGGGGCCATAACCCATGAAGTTTTGATCCGATACATGGCAATATCGAAAGGAACCAAGATCTTTTGGAGATAGACCTATATTTCAAGTTTAGTCAAAATCGGATAAGAATTGTGACCTATTGAGTGTCCACAAACAAATTGCGGATGGACAGACGGACGGATGTCTGGAAGAACAGGGGTGACAACAAAATGTGGGCGTACAAAAAAGGAGCAAGGACAATAATGCTAAAGAAATAATTTATGGAAACTGTCCAATTTTGATAGGATTCTTCATTTCACTAACTTAAGAAATTATAAAAATTTCAAGCAGATCGATTGATAACATTTGTTATTAGAGCATTCAAAAGATTTTGCTTAGTGAACAAGGGCCATAAAAAACAGAAATAATGAAATCAACATGAAGATCGGGTGATAAGTTTTGTATTGAGTGTATACAAGATTTTATAAAGTGATCAAGGGCCATACCTCTAAATGTATGGTGTTTTCATTCTCAATTTACCTTTCAATCATTATAGTGCATTCTAATAAATTGACTGTAATAAACCTTTAAATTTTAAATAATTAGTTATGGTGTATTCTGCTAAACTTACTGGTACTTAAATACCTCTAAATCATTAGTTATAGTGTTTCCTATTAAACTGACTTTAACATACCTTTAAATCATTACTTAATGCATGTCCTACTAATATTCTTCCCTTTAATATTTGACTGACTTCTTTCTGTACTGTGAAAAAATCTTCACCTGAAATAATACAATCACCAAATGGAAACCAATAGGACATAATATAGTAGACACTTTGTGTTTCCATCTACATGTATCATACTAACCCAGGATGTAAACTGTTGCCATTAGCTACATTTATAAATGAATGGCGAAATGTGTATCATTCCATCACCAAGTGAAGCACAGTACTGGTATGTCTACTGTACATTTTCATAACAGCATCATATGCATAAATTATACATGAATAAACAGACTTATGTTTACTTATTGTTATTACTTTATAAAAATCAATGTCCAGTCTTTGCATGGAATAAAACATAATATATTATGTTCATCTATAAACTTCTATTAAATCTTACAAACAAACCTCCACATTTCTCAAATATAAGGTCTGAAAACTTGAATTCTCTAATTGGTTGTTTACCAAAATAATGTATAGTTACGTTATAGAGAGATAAACAACAGGCATTAATCAAGAATATGACATGTACTAGAGCTTAACCTGTTACAATTGCTAAATTAACACGCATATTCAATGCCGATTAAAGTGGACTCTCACTTTAACATAGATATATCAAATTTGGTTTGACACAGATAAATCTTTACTTTAATGCTTCCATGCAGGGCTCTATAACTAAACAGAACTTGTACAACAAAAAATTGAAATAACATAAAAGAGCAAGACAATTCAACCATTTCTTTTTTTGACCCAGATTAAGATTTCTCCTTTAGTTCAATCGTCATGGAATTTTTATTATCAGAAAATCACTGCTATTCAATCTGATATTAATCAGTTTTCATACTTTAAAATCCATTTTCCTACGTACCATCAGCAATGTTTTCTGGTGTTATACCACTAACAAATGTCCTATAATCTATAACAGGTTCCATTGGTTTAACATATTTATCATATAAACATTGACCATATTTGTTTACAATTGACACCCTGGCAACCATACTTTCACTACCATTAACCCCGACACCAACCATTTCGCAATCCATAGCAACAATTTTAGTTAATCTACAATGAAATATGGGAATTAGTTTGGTTATATAAGAAAGACAATATTTGGGTTTTCAGATACTGCTGTGCCATTCAATAACGACCGCATAATCTTTTTTTATTTAAAAAAAAATTCTGATCATTCTTATAAACTATCGTATGTCTAATCAAAATTTAACTATAAACAGATGATGCGATAAATGGGAGTATTCAGGATTGTTAAAGCCTTTAAAAATATTAAGTAGACAATAATTGTGATACACTGATTTTTTTATGTTTTCTTAATGTCACAGCCGATTATTGGTGAAACCTGTGAGACTTAGTATACACAGTGTCTCCCTACCCAATCCCTCCATCCTATCTTATCTCGGGGTCTGTCAAAAACATTTTCATATTGGAATATGTATGTATTAATGTTAATCTTGATCATAACCTACCCTTCAAAAGAACCAGTTTTAATAAGCTGAGAAGCTGTGTCTTGGTACTTAGGATTGGCCGCATCTTGTAAACGTTTAGCCTTTCTTGCTTCAATATCTAACAACATTTCATCAACGCCATCAAACCAAATATCTGGTTCTCTAGAATATAATCATCATTTAAATACATACAGTTGTATATTAATACAACAGACATCCTTCTGATGGTGATGCCATTCCATTTTCTTGTGTGTTTTGGACTAGATTTGGTGGCCTTCTGTCAGTGGAAACTTGGATAATCTAACAATTAATTAATAATACTGAATCTATAGACACTAAAATATCTAATTCTGAGTAAAATATCGTGTTTGCTTCAGTTACAATAAAATATAACTTACTCAGCTTCCTTGGCTTTTACTATCTCCCCAGCATTCTCTTTTCTTATTTTATTTTCAGTAATCTGTTTAGTTTTTGCTAGGTCACTACCTATGATTCTTTTCTTTGCACCTGGTTTACCTTTCGCTTTTGTTGGTATCTTGTCTTTAAGCAGTGTCTGTGGATTAATTGATATATAAAACATTTAGCAAGTACTTATTTCTTATAAGATTTACATTTACATACAGAAAATTTTAAAAGAAATGAAATCAAATGGGGTTTAAAGTCCTACTGTTCTGCTCCAACTGGGCTAATGAAGACAGAAATCTCAGAAGGACTTTGTTTAAGAGAGGTGGTTTGGGGTCAAATGGTGTGCACTTTAAATCATAAGTTCTGTCATTAATTAACTTATTGTGGTTCAATCCTACATTAAAGATCACCCTGTCTAACATTGTGGGCTTTTCTCTGGCTCCCACCAATTACTATTATAAATACCTACATGTATGCATATATTATCAAACAAATCATCACATATTTTTCTGTATAATATTCTGTTGAATTTTAAACACCTATTATTGATAGGCCTACAAAACCTTAATTATGTGTAGTGTAAGGAATGTTTCATAAAATAAGTATCCAGTTAATAATAAGTACTGATATCAAATCTTTAAACAGATTTCTAAAGATTTAATACACAGTGAGTACTGATAATACTTCTGCCTACTCTTCCTTAAATTTCAACTGCCAATGCTTTTTTTTACTCGTACGGTAAGACAATGTGTACACATCACCTCAAATTTTTCGTCCATCCAATTGACTATACTAATGTCCAAAAGAAAGTATAAACTGTGCATTTCGTCCTGTTTCAAACAAAGTCATTTTTCCATTGTATGTGGTATTTGGGTACAATGTCCATTTGTTTTGTCGTTTATTTGCTTAGAAATATTGAGTTTGGACGCACGAGACATGTTCAGTGTAGTTTTATCACATTTTTTTTTATTAAAACAAAACTTAGTCATATTTTTAGTGTGTATACTTTCTTTTGGACATTAGTATAGATATTATTTCCTTGCAATGACATCCATCAGTCACCAGTGACAAGGGGAAACCTGACTGGAAAATTATATGGGACTTTCTAGCTAATACCAGGATAGAACTTGATACCTATTGGTTAGTGAGACACCACCACTCACTAAGTCATTGCGAATAAGCAATGGTACAACATTAATACAAGTGTAAGTAATAAATATTCATTATATTCATATAATTACATGTACCTTATGCAGGATCTTCCAGTTATTTGAAATTTCTTTTGGTATTTGAACTCTTTTTACATCTTTTTCAATTTGTTTTATTTCAGGTGAAGATTTTTTTTCTTTCATTTTCATTTTCCTTCTCTTTAATTTGTTCAATTTTTTCCACTTTTTCCCAGAATGGGTTTGTTTTTCTGAAGACACAGTTTTGTTATTTTTCCTTATTTCTAAAGTTCTAACTCCTTTTCTGTTTTTTTTAATTGCTGATTTATTATCACTCAGGTTTTTCGTAGCATCAACTAACACTTTTATTTCAGGTGTTTGAGGTACAAACTCATTTTTGGAGTTGCTTGCCTTTATTGTAGGCCTACTACTTTTATTTCCATTTTTATTCAGCTTTTTCTTTTTTGTAGCCACTGGAATCTGACTGCTTTCTTCTGATTTTCGTTTCATATTCTGCGTCATAATCTGAAAAAGAGGAATGTAATGTAGAACATAAATCAGTGTTTGTCATGTGTGTGCATGAGGAGTTGTGGTTTTGAGGGGTTGGGTTGGGTTAGGGTGGAGATAGCTACAGTACGAGCAAGTATCTAAAGAAGTTGAGATATACTGCTTTGTTAATTTTTGGGTACGATTGGATGCCTATTGGATCTCTATTAATACATGTAACATCTTAAAAATAAGTCAACTTTATACAAACATACCCAGTTTTGTTTATCAGTAAATATTGTCAATAATGTTAATCAAGCGGTGGTTATAAAATAATTTGAACGACCATTCACAATTATGGTGCATTAGTCATGTGCGACATATAAAGGTTCTCTACTTGCTATTTCAAATTGTTTAAAATGATGTTAAGACGTCAAACCTATTTTGCTTCCAAATGTCGGAGGGGGGGGGGGGGCATACAAAAGGGATGTAACTGTATTTGAAAGTTAAGTCTCAAGACTGGATCTTTCATTTTCTTTTAAAATGTGTAACAATTGACTAATTTGGCACTTGCAAGATCGAGACTAGAGTCAATAATGTACTAAAAATAGACACTACATCGAGTTAATCGAAAGAAGTGTTGAACTAGACAATTTCCAAATTACACTCTCTAAAATTCATTCGCCAAAACTTTCACAGTATCATCAATTTGATCGCCAATAAAAAGAATTATCTTATCGCCATTGGCAAATGTCTAGGGCGGTCACTTAGTAGGCCTATCTCTTATCTCGAGACACGCAGGGTCGAGAGATGAGGTTTCTTATCTATACTATAGGGTGGAGGTAGGTCTACATTACATATAATGTACACATAATGTTCAGTCCCAAAAAGTTTTCAGCATTAATTTGGTTGCTAGCTCTGACGTTAGTACATGTGTTTATAGTAATAAATCACCTAGCTACAAGAAAGCATAGCTAAAACGTTGAGATAACTGATGTGCTTGTTTTTAGCTATGATCGGATGCCTTTAGTTTAAGCTGGCAAACTTAACTTCGTTCTTAATGCATGTAACACAACACCTTAAAAATAAGTTAGTTTTATACTATTAGGACTTATTAAAAATATTCAGCCCAATCTAGTGAAACAAGATATTGTTAGGAAAGTGAATCAAGCATTGTTTTTTTTTATCAAAATTGATACAGACCGACATTCATAATTACGGTGCATTAGTCCGGTGAGACTTGTATCACTTAATTAAATCACTATCAGGTTAGTACTTCTCGCAAATTTGGATTTGTTGTTGTACATGATATATATTTAGCTCCACCTTCATGACGTAAAGATGTCAAATTTAAAATGCTCCGTAAAGTCAGCTATTATCACTTCATATTCATAGCCATAGGATTATATGCTTAAATTGTAGTTGGATGTGGCAGAACTTGTTTTGAAGAAAAAAATGTCAGTTTTGTTTATTGAAATCTGTCTGATCTGCATTTGACTTTGCCAGGTGGATCTATATAGTACCATCTCTTATCTCGAAACACGGATGGTTGAGAGATGAGGTTTCTGCTCATTTCTCTTTTTTGGGAAGTCTGTCTGGGTGGGACATTAAGTTCATTAACCATATTTTTTTAACCCACGGCACCACTTTAACCACACCGATAAAACCAGTCGGGTGTAGATCAGTGGCTAAACGTAGCTTTTTCCATTAACTATCTAACTATACTATTATACTAACACTAAATTGATAAGCGGTTATTTACCATACATAAATGTTTTTATATTCAAGACTGACATGTGTTTCTATTTTTCTAAGGGCCCAAACTAGAGTTACCGTTCATTATAGTCTCGGTTTTCTGGACACTAGGATTTCGTCGTACGTATTGAGTTATGTTCGTAGTACGTCAAAGTTAAAAGATTCCATTTTTCTATTTTGTATATAGATCTGTAGGCCTACTGATATTTGTTTTTAAAAAGATAAAATAGCTAGAAAAATAAAATTTAATTAAATTGATTAGGAAATGAAATGTTCTTTATGTGTGACATTCGTGACACCCATGGAGATATGCACCTCTAACATGGTGGCTGAAAGCGTCCATTTAGATCGGCGTGTTTCTAGATACAACTCGAGAGTCGCCGTTAAGCCAGCACGACGAAAAAGGCGCCGATCGGCCGATCGTACTGCCTTATCGGCGACCCGCGACTTTCACAACACGAGAGTCGCCGTTAAGCCATGCACGCGCCGAAAAAGTCGCCGAAAAAATCGGCGCCTTTTTCGGCGCCCTTTTCGTCGACTTGCTTAACGGCGACTTGCTTAACGGCGACTCTCGCCTCAGAAGTTTATAGTTAGTTACATCGCAATTGCTACATTTTACTTCTTGTATATAAAATCAGAATGGAGGAGATTTTGGATGGGTATGGGCTGTCTAGCTATATCAACATTTTCAGTGACACTAGGGCAAATTAAAATTTATGAGTGTTACAGACACGTGTACTTTCAAAACCTGTTTAGTTACACTGGAATTAGATTTAAAATGTAAACGTCTTTATATCACTAAATATTTTCCCATTGATTTAATGTTAATTCTCATATCTTGGACCAGCTCTAACTTTTTCCCAAATTTTCGTTGGGTAGAACGCTTTCTGCCACAGATGGAGCAACTTGTGGCAAACTGTTGCACAAAAGCAATGAGGTTCACAAGTAGAGACAAGTAAACATGCAATTTTCGGCCCTACATTTCAATCTAACCAACCTCTCAAAAACATGAATATTCACCAAAACCTAGCAGAAAATGTATTTTCAAACCCCTTTCTTCGATTCTACACCACAAATCGCCATGCAAAATGGGGAAAGGGAAAGGGGAGAGAAAGACTAAAAATAACTTTCGCCCTACATTGGTGGGTGACGGCGTAGAAATATTTGGTAATTTGTGTCCATATACAAGAATTAAAATGTAGCCATTCCGCATGTAACTAACTATAAACTTCCGAGGCGAGAGTCGCCGATCGGCGCCTTTTTCGTCGTGTAGCCATTCCGCATGTAACTAACTATAAACTTCCGAGGCGAGAGTCGCCGATCGGCGCCTTTTTCGTCGTGCTGGCTTAACGGCGACTCTCGCGTTGTATCTAGAAACACGCCGATCTAAATGGACGCTTTCAGCCACCATACTCTATGGTGACACAATAAACCGTTTAATGATTGACAATATTGCGAAAGAAGGTGTGAGTAACGCCGTTACTATCAAAATCCAAATACACCGAATTAATTATTTCCGGTTACGCGTTGATTATTTTCACTCGGCAAACCTCAGCAGATTCCGCCATTGGAACTTCTTTCAAGTTCCCGAATTACCAACGGCGTTGCCCATGACGACGCCTTGTGAAGAATGTTTTTCTTTCAAGTTTCATCCGATTTTCTTCAAACAAGTACAACTTAAATTTGCACCGAAAATTCTACACACGCTTCGAACGACTCAATTTTGATAACTTGTTTTTAAAAGCGGCAAATTTTCCTAATAAGTAAACCGGTGTCGCATTGCAATTGTGTAGGCGAAGACCACATAGATATCACTTACCGTCATACATCCGAGGCTAGATGTAGAGTAACGGAATCTCCGAGGTTTGCCGAGTGGATTATTTTAATCTGATGTACCAATGCAATTTGTTTCACAGAGATCTTCTAATATCTCTGTAACGGATGACTGTTTCGACACGTGACGTCACATCACGCGGCGTCAATCATTGGCTCAATATATAAGGCGTGCATTGTTTACATAAGACGTTACCACCGAGTAAAAATACTCTGTGACGTTACTGATTCGGGCTAATTTAAATGGTGAATTTTACTTATTTTAATACCCATTTACACCAAATAGGGAATACTTTTTACCTACAAATAATTCAAACGTCTTTATATATTTTTCTAATAAATGAAAAAATGTTTTAGAATTTAATTTGACGGAAGAAAAAAGTTAATATATGGGACTCATTAAGTCGCATCGATGTCATCCTTGTTAGTGATTGTAGCGGCCTAGCGAAAAATTCACTTCTGATCAGTGTGGTACCAATGACGTAGATATATCTCCGTCATTGTAATTTTCCAATTACACCTAATAAAGTACCACTAGGATTTCCAGTCAATAAACTCAGTCGAATCGAACTTGAAACTTTTTGGCAGGGGAGGGGGTGTAGCCCCTGGCCCTTTTACAGCTATGGCTATGGGTATGACTGGACTACTCGATATTATCTTAGTTCACTGACATTGCTGCTGATTATTGATCGACCGCTTTTATCGACTCAGATATTCGACTGGGCGCAGTGGAAAGAAAACTTCTCATCAAGTAACTCTAATAATTCAGTCAATGGTTGGGCCTATTTAAACTGTCAAAAGCACATTGTCAGCTTGATCTGGGATGAAGACCATGTTGTGGATTTATCTATTAAGACAACTGTGCTACATTTTACTATCTTAGTTTAATCCCATCAGAGTATTGTTTTCAGTTTTTCACCACCAGGTTTAGTGACTGGTTTTATCGACTGTGATATTTGACTGGTTTTATCGACTGAGATATTTGAATGGTTTTATCGACTTATATATTCGACTGGTTTTATCGACTGGGATATTTGACTGGTTTTATTGACTGAGATATTTGACTGATTTTATCGTCTGGACGAGGGCCACAAGAAAATAGTTTTATCGACTGGGATATTTGACTTTTTTCGACGATAAAATCAGTCAAATAAATTCAGTTGACAGAACCAGTCGAATAATTCAGTCGACAAAACCAGTCGAAAAAAAACCAGTCAAATAATCCAGTCAATAACACCAGTTGAATAATCCGGGCAAAAAAACAGTCAAATATCCCAGTCGATAAAACCAGTCGCTCAATATTAAGCAGCGGTGGCAGTGAACGAAGGTAATATAGAATAGCCCAATCATGCTCATAGCCAAGGGCTTCACCCCCCGCCCCTCCCAACTAATTTAAAGTCAGATTTTTCGGGCAAAAGTAGTCTTATGATCTAGGTATTTAGGTGATACATGTACTTAACTGGAGAGTAATGTTTTTGGCCCCGTCATCTTAGTGAATAGAATCCTACATATGCCTGTAGTCAGGGGATGGGGGTATTGGACGAGACAGGGTTTTTTTTTTGTGACCTCGTCAAGTCAAATATTTCAGTGTATATTTCAGTCGAAAAAGCAGTCGCTTGACTTGATGGTGGAGAAACATATTTTATGAAGCACTGATGGGAGTGAACTAAGATAACAATAAGTAGCCTGGAACCACGGTGGCTAAGTGAATAAGACGCTTGCTCGCTAGCCTGGAGGTCGCGGGTTCGTTCCCGGTATTGGCCGAAAAAGTTCCTCAGGATTTTCCGGGTGGCCTCCCCTTGTCAGTGGGGCAGTACGGAGGGCCTGACAACAAGGACAGCTGTCTAGTCGTTCGGATGGGATGGAAAACCAAGGTCCCATGTACACATTGGCATGCATGTGAAAGATCCCCTGGCAGTTGGAATTCGATATGTAAGAGTAGGACACTGTATGGCGTATGCCCGACTTTATTAGCTCAGTCGGTGCACAACAGTAGGACGTTAAACCCCATTTCATTTCATTAAGTAGCCCTGTCATGCTCATAACACGGTTCGACTTTCAGGGAATGTGTCTCGTCGAGTGTGTTCTCTAAGTATCGGATATGATTACAGATTCTTTGAATAGATCTTCAACACTTTATTTCAGGAGCAAATAAACAACAGCAACAAGTAAACAACTTATAACTTCCTATAAATCGGTCCTCCAACTATACTAAGTAAGGCACAGACTGACCATTATAAGGGTAAAATGATACCCGGGGTCAAACAGCAAAGTTACCACAGCATCACAACCAAGTCAGTAACGGGTAAATGCTCCTCTGTTTGCCAAACAAGCATTGATCCGACGTGGCATACTCCTAATGAGACGTCTAAGGTCATTTTGGTCCAGATTGTCCCATTCCTGTTGCAACGCAGCAGCAAGTTCTTGGACATTGGCAAGACGTTGTTGACGTTGACGTAACCTCTGTCCAAGCATGTCCCAGACATGCTCGATGGGGGAGAGGTCGGGACTCGGTGCTGGCCAAGGTAATGTGGTAACCTGTAACGATCCTGGCCCTGTGACATCTTGCGTTGTCATCCTGGAAGATGAAACGGCGGCCATGACGTCGTGCGAACGGCACAACATGGACTGCCAAGATGTTGTCCCGGTAGTACTGGCCTGTAACACGCCCTGCAACAACATGTAAAGCCGTTCTTCCAGCAACAGTGATGCCTCCCCACACCATAACAGAACCACCCCCAAATCGATCATGTCTGATGACGTTAACGTCTTGGAAGCGCTCGTTTCGACGACGCCACACCCTCCTACGTCTGTCCAAAAAATCAACAGTGAACCTTGACTCATCTGAAAACATCACATTGCTCCAGCGTCGATTATCCCAGTGTTGACGATCCCTAAACCAACGACGTCTTGCCTGAATGTGATGATCTCTCAAACAAGGGATCACGCGAGGACGTCGGGCGCGAAGGTGACCCCTATGCAGTCGATTCCGAATCGTCTGGCCACTCACTCTCACACCAGTGTCTGTTTGAAGACGAGCGCTGATCTGATTTGCTGTGATGACACGATTTCTCAAGGCCAAGGTACGGATAAATCGATCCTGGGCTTGAGTTGTCGCCCTTGGTCGACCTGAGCGTGGTCTGTCCTGTACAGATTGTGTATCACGGTATCTGGACCATAGCCTGCTTATGACAGACTGAGAAACATTCATCGTCCGCGCCACAACCGCCTGTGTTGTGCCGATCTGTAGCATGCCAAGGGCACGTAACCTTTCATTTTGGGTAAGCCGACGCATATCAAAATTTGTTTTCTGGTCACTAAAACAATTAAACTGATGTTTCCACCCTGGAATTCAATGCCACAATGACTGTAACATTCAAAGTCAGAGTCGTGCAAA